TTTATTTCTTTACTTTGTTTTCATTTTGTATTTTAAGTTTTTCACTTTTAATTATAATTGATATATAATGTGTGTAAATGGACAAAAAATAAATAAATGAGTGCACATGAATCAGTGACATACACATTTATCATGGTAATCGTCAAACATGTGAAATTATGGCAAACAATGCGACTGGGTACAGTCGGATCGACGCTTTGTCGCCGGGATTTGTTCATTATTATTTTTTAATTTAAAACAAAGCATGTCAACTATTGAATTTAATTAGGCCTACAGTAAGTCTCATCTTCATCTGTTTTGTTGCATTCCTCAAATTCTGGCCTAGGCGTACCTGGGCCTGGCCTACCTGGGTGGGCCTAGCCAAAAAAAATTGCGTCAGATAGCCTTGGGCCTAGGCCTGCTCGACTTACTTAGGCCTTTTGGTTTTTAAGAGCTTTCACGAATACAGCGACCCCCTCCCCCACCCCCGGGAAAACGGGGGAGTTGGTACCCCACCCCCGGGAAAACGCGGAATGATCGCCGACCGGCACTTCAAAAAGCTGGTGATATCCCTGCTCATGTGTGAGACTCGTGCATTATGTATGAGAAGAGTAACAGTTGGCAGGTGTAATAAAGGTTGGCTAAGAAGTGATTTACAAGACATAGGAAAAATGACTAGAATATAATCATGTCCTTGAAATACTGTGAGGATGAATATTATCTGCAATCTAACACTACAAAAACAGAATACTGTAGCTTAAAAATGAATTTTCTTTCTTACCCATTACTTTTCCATATCTTTTAAACTTGATCGTTAAATCCTGCTTGGATGTTATGTCTGAATTAAGGTTGCCAACAAAGACCCGACTGACGGCGCCCTCTTCACTTGAGATGTCACAGTTCGACATCATAATTAATTCTTTTCAAGTATTAAAGTAGCTACTTCAGTAAGTTGTAATGAAAGTCTGTGAAAAATTAATAGAATATATTCATATTATCATACAAAAATTTACTCTAAAGATCTGTAAAACAAGTTCTCGTAATCTCGAAAGCTTCAACGAGGGCAGTATAATAAGTAGAGCTAAAAAAGATCTATTAATCAATCAACTATGAACCTATCAATGGCCGAGTGTTTCTAGAGCTCCTAATGAGGGCAGTAAGTATAATATTATTAGAGGCAGTATAGGTAAAAAAAATACCTATTAATCAATTAATAATCAACCAGTCTCATGAGGGCAGTATAATAGAGGCAGTAGATCTAAAAAAGACCTATTAATCAAACAGCCGAGTGTTTTTAGAGCTCCTCATCTGGGCTAAAAATATTACAATCAACAGACAAGACTATACACAAGTGTGAAAGCAGTGGCACATGAAAGTATTGCCATGCTACCCCAAATTAGGAAGGGCCAATAAGTGATGGAAAAGTGAAGGAGGCTAGAGCCGCTAGATAGAGAATTACTGTAGGTGGTACAGTATGAGGTGATTTTTCTATTAATAATATTTTTCCTCAGTATAAATTAGATACGGCACTGTATGAAAGTTAATAAAACTGTACCTGAATTGTTATAAAATTATTATATTAACAGTAGTGGGAAACCACTCACACCATACATTCTAGTTAAATTTACTACCGAGTTTCACGTCTAGAGTGAAATGTTATTTAATATTATTTTGGAGTTTTGACAAATGTGCAAATCTGACAAATGGACTCATAAGGATCGATCGTTAACAGCATGCAGAGAATAACAGAATGCATGAGCCAAAGTGTCGGCCCGTTTTGGCCCTGAACCAAGTGATGACAAGTTGCTTTCCGATGATTCATCCAACATTAATTAACAACATGTATTACGCCACAAATATATTTTTTTATCACTAATAACAGCACATTTTTTATATCTTTTAATATTTATTAAACAATTATTTGTTTTTTAATACTGTAGACATTATTTTCAATTCTGTAATTGTAAGTACAAATGAGTCCACTTCTTGAATGAATAATTAAGTATTATATACTTCTGATAATTTCTTTGTATCAAATGTTTTTAATAGTACTGTGTTTTTTTTTGGTACATTTTCAATGTACTTTCTACAATAATGTTTGTTCAATACAATACAGTGTTTTAGAACTGCAGCTTTGATGAATGAATATAGAGATTACTTGAATACTTGTTTGAACTGGCAAGATTTGGTTGTCTTCTAAACATACTATAAAATATCAGCCTACCTAACACAGGCCTAGGCGTCTAAATGAATCAGGGCTCAACTGAGTGGATCAATGAACAACAAGTCTGATATTAACCTACAGCAGGCTAGGCCCTTAAAGAAAATGTGACAATTTTTGCTGCTTTCAGAGTAGGCCTAGTAAAGGGCCTATGCGGTTTCCATTTGGATAATTTATTTCTTCTCTAGGCCGGGATAGGATAGGGAGCCTAACCTAGGCCTAGGTTTAGGTTAGGCCTGGCCTACTTCACTTTTATTACAATCAATCAAACAATTTACTATTTCAAGTGGATAATAAATATTGATGAAGATGGGTATACTTATGTTTATCAAAACTACTGTAGTATTATAATAGCAAACAAGAGAGGTATAGGGGGGCCTAGATCTAATTCAACATTGGACAAAGGTAACCCTGCCCTCTACTTGTCTAGGTCCTAGGCTAACCATAGGAAAAACTCCAACGACAACGAACTCTCGTGTCTTTCCTGGGTATTCATCTGACTGAGTGAGAATAATGAGGCTGCTGATCTCTCTCCTTTTTAATTAATTTTCTAAGATGATGTGACTTATTATCAAGCTGTTAAAAATCGACTTGTCTAAGAACAACATTTAAATATGCATTTCTGGAATATTTGAATTCATTATATGTATTAAGAAGTTATATTTTTACGATTCTTACCGTGGAATAAACTTGCGCTCAGCCCAAATTTCTTCTCACGCCAAGTAAATGGACAGACCAGGATCGGATATACACGTGTGTTGATTGGTTGCATTGGATCACTTGACCAATCAGATCGCGTCTGTAATAAGAAAGTGCCAGGGTGAAGAGCGCCCTCAACATCGGAAACTGAATCACAAGTTGTTGATTATAAAGAGCTGGCCATGACAAATGAAATGAAAAAGTAACTGCTAATTATAAGTTTTTGGTGTTTTAACTTTTCAGCATGTCAAAAGACCAAATACAGACTGAAGGTAAATATCTGCAATAATGGTGCTAGTAGTATACATTAGGCCTCCGATTGACCTTGCTATAGCCTAGAGTTGCTAGGCCAGGCAAGTTGATGGTAGAGGTAGTGACTTACCTTATTAAAGTGAAACAGGAGGCATTGAGTTTTTACTCGTGAGCACATCCCTCTTCTTCTAGGCCTAGGCCCTGTGTTACCCGTTGTTCATACTGGAAGAGGATCATCTTGCTCGGCCAAATTTTAATATTCAGACTAACTTCTTTGTTTATATACGTAATTTATTATACAAATATCGGTATGTCTTGATATCCCATTAAAAATTCCTCGATTGTTTAAAAAATAGATTTTTTTTCAGTACTAAAAAGTGGGTTGATCCTGCACAAAACAAATATTTTCTCAATCAGGGATTAAAGTAAGGACAATGTGAATGATTAATAGACAGATGGGTGAACAGATCTAACCAAAAAGATTAGTTTTGCTTGGTCTACCTATATTAGATGCAGTGCTTCTAAACATCACCAGATTTTGGAAATTTCTGTCAAAACCTTCAAGTTTTGAAAGATTTTGGGGTTGTAAAATTCACTTTTTTGTGATTTATAAGCAAACAAGCAAGTGGGCCCACTTCTTGGTGATAAATTAGTTAGATTTTACGATGCTTGCCTTCCAATCTCAGGTTCCTGGGTTCAAATCCTGCCACTGCATGGTTTTTTTTTCTCAATTATAAACAGCTGCAGTTCCTAAGCCTCATAAGGAAACTTGGTTTATACAGTACAGTAGGCGAGTTATGTTGTTGGATATAAAGAACAATAAAAAAAAGTATATTCGATTAAGTGAAGATTGAAAAACTTGTCTGGTCATATTTAGATTACAAGAGATATGTATTTGTCAATATGCTGTTAGCATTTTATTATTACAAATTACAGTTTATCCAAGTCTTTTCACAACTGATTTTAACTAGAATTTGGAACAGTAATAATTCATGTTGTACTATGTGGCCCGTTGTGTTATTGTAAAATAATTTCCTACATATTTTTAAAAATAATTTTTCTAGAAGTATATAAAAAAACAATTGGTTTTGTTTTTTTTTAAACAGATCTGAAAGCATTTGAGAGAAGGCTAACAGAATATATTACACATCTTGGACCATCAACAAGAAAATGGCGAGGTAAAAATAAAAATAAATTATTCTTGAAAGTTTTCTCATTCATTGGAAGAATATGTCAGACCTTAAGACAAAATGCTCTTCGTACTGGTTTGTCCTGAAATATATAATTTATTAATTAGCTCACAATTATTAATTCCTGTGTAAACGCTATTAATGTCATCAGTCCACCCTTGCTGCTCCTAAGAAGAATACATGCCATTCCCAGAAAATAATGTCTATTCTTCTCTGTCCTGAAACATTTTAACGTTGTCATTCCACCTTTGCTGTTGTTAAGAAGAATACATGAGATTACCACAAAATGCTCTCTATTCACTGCTCTATCTTGAAACATCTTAATGTCATCATTCCACCTTCACTATGGTAAGAAAAATACATGACATTACTGTTACTACTAAATCCTCTCTATACTGCTCCATCCAGAAACATTTTAATGTCGTCAGCCCACCCTCGAAATAGTAAGAAGGATACATGACATTACTGCAAGATCCTCTCCATACTGCTCAATCATTAAACATCTTAAAGCGAGGCTCCGGAGTGGAAAAAATTAATATTGATATTTTTTATCATACCACCTACTTGCTAGCTATTTGGTTGGTTGGTCAATCAGAGAATATAAACGTTAATGAAAAAATGTACAAAAGAAATGTAGTGTATGATATTGCTATATACTTTGAGGAACTGAATGTTTTTAATTTTCATTTACACATAGTAGGTGTTGAGCTGATCAGTTAATTAAATTAATTAATTAACTAAGTTGTCATTATGCTTTTCTTGCAGTTATATTAGTAGTAGCAACAGTATGCACAGCTGTTGGTGCATGGCAGTGGCTAAAAGATGAGACTACTCGCCAGGTAAATTTGCATATTATAAATTATCCAATAAGATGCAAGATATCTTAACTGATAATTTGCATATAATCAGTTACCCAATAAGGTAGGAGATACCGTAACTGATAATTTAATTTGTATTATAGGTTTATTGTTTGGTGTAGTGTTTGTATTCATTTGTGCTATTTTATCTATTGCTGTTTATCTAACTGTCCAGTAAGCTTGTTGTTTTCGGACCCTTGAAGTACAGTAGGCCTACTTTTATAACCTCTTTATGAGGCATCGGGAGATGATCATATTGACCTTTGATCCTATATAACCTAGCTTAGGGAATAGAGAGTTGATAATTTTGAGCATTTTGATGCTCTTTTACCACCGAGTCTCTTTATGAAGTTTGGAGAGTGGGCTCTTAATTGTTATCAATTTTCTCATTCAAGATGCGATATTATTTTTTATAGACATAACCTAGCCCCTATTCTGGAATTTGCATCATTGCAGTCTTCTGGAAACAAGTAAACATATCACATGGTGCTTTGGTACATTTTTATGTGTTTTATTCTTGAATTCTATTGATACAATTATGAAATAATAATAATGGTCATTTCATTTCATTTAGTTTTATTGTCCAATTTTAAAAAGGGAAAGCAGACCGGAAACAATTCATTGCATATTTAAAAATATAAAAAATTGTACACACAGTAATAATGAAAAATAAAATTATTGTAATTGTAATTTGTTAATAATGCTGATATTAATTTTAATTTTTGTGATAGTGGTTATAGTAATAATGGTCTTATTTTTTGTAGAGTAATCTTTAAATTGTATAGTATATTTGGTAGGAAAGCTTGTTATACCAATGCTCCCATTCAGCTTTGGCTGCCAATGTATTGTAAAGAATTAATAAAAGAATTTGTAATAATAAAAGTAATAAATACATTTTTTTGTTAATTTATTAAATGAAGTGAATTTTATTCAGCAATATCATCAAATAAAGGATTGTTAAACCTTTGTCCACACTATCAAATTTTTTGTGACAAATATATGTGATTGATATGCCCATATCTGGTGGAAATATGACATCACCAATTCCCATATATGGGCAAATCACACACATTTGTCACATAAAAGTTGATAGTGTGGACAGAACTTCAAGATATGTCCACACTATCAAATTTTATGTGAAAAATAAATATGATATGCCCATGGTGCTTTGGTACATTTTTATGTGTTTTATTCTTGAATTCTATTGATACAATTATGAAATAATAATAATGGTCATTTCATTTCATTCATTTCATTTTGTTTTATTGTCCAATTTTAAAAAGGGAAAGCAGACCGGAAACAATTCATTGCATATTTAAAAATATAAAAAATTGTACACACAGTAATAATGAAAAATAAAATTATTGTAATTGTAATTTGTTAATAATGCTGATATTAATTTTAATTTTTGTGATAGTGGTTATAGTAATAATGGTCTTATTTTTTGTAGAGTAATCTTTAAATTGTATAGTATATTTGGTAGGAAAGCTTGTTATACCAATGCTGCCATTCAGCTTCGACTGCCAATGTATTGTAAAGAATTAATAAAAGAATTTGAAATAATAAAAGTAATAAATACAATTTTTTTGTTAATTTATTAAATGAAGTGAATTTTATTCGGCAATATCATCAAATAAAGGATTGTTAAACTTTGTCCACACTATCAAATTTTTTGTAACAAATAAATGTGATTGATATGCCCATATCTGGTGGAAATATGACATCATCAATTCCCATATATGGGCACATCACACACATTTGTCACATAAAAGTTGATAGTGTGGACAGAACTTCAAGATCTGTCCACACTATCAAATTTTCTGTGACAAATAAATATGATATGCCCATATCTGGGGGTAATAATGACATTATCAATTCCCATATATGGGCACTTTACACACATTTGTCACATAAAAGCTTTATGTGACAAATATATATGATATGCCCATATCTGGTGGTAATAATGACATCATTAATTCCCATATATGGGCATATCACACACATTTGTCACATAAAAGTTGATAGTGTGGACAGGGCTTTTTTGTGATGTCACATGATACCTTGCTGAGGGATTTTGTTTCTTTTTTTTGCAGGTGTCTTTTGTGCAATCCCTACAAAATCATCCGTTCTTCACAATCAGTTGCATAATTTTTATAATGCTATTCTTTTTCGGGATTCATAAACGAGTAGTTGCACCATCGATGTATCCTTTTGCAAATATTTAATTCATATTCCAAAATGCATTTTCATTATTTTTTTTCAGCATTTAGTTATATTGTGGTAATGGTGATGCACTTATAAAGCACATTCTACAGTATAATGAGTGTCTGTGCATTGGAAATCACAACCTAAGTGCACAATATAAGGAAAGAAGAAAAACCAAAAGTATTAAATGGAATAAAGATTACTAATTGAAATACAGTAATGAGAAAAGCCCTGGACCAAATTATCTGAGCAGGGCCTTTTAAAGAGCAGAACATTTCAACAAAATAATACATCCCTAGATGTCAGAGTGACCCCAAAGTGTGGCTTTCCCCGTACCCACTGGCTGCTCTACCCTGGAGAGAGCACAGCTCCTGGGTCGGGAGGGGGCCTTAACCTTTTATTTTGTGTAATTGATAACACATTTATTTCCAACTAAAATAATTACAAAATAAACAACAATTTTTTACGAATTTTCACATTCATTAGCCTGGGTTAAGTCTAGTGAAGAGACACTAGTCATGAGAAGACATATAAAGTCTCAATCGCACTGGATTTATTTCAGTAAAAATAACCGTCTTGTCGGTAAGTTTGACCGAAAAAAATCCAGTGCGGATAGTCCCGCTCGGTTAACTTGACTGTCGCCGCTGGTTAGTTTTCGGGAGTGAAATTTACTCAGGAATTCCTACCGAGCTACTTTGACCGGCCTGGAAAATCCAATGCGAACAGCCACAGGTCGGTTAAATTAACCGAATCCCGAGCCTCATTGTTTGTTCGTTTGCTTTTTTCAGCCGTTTTCTTTTTCCAACGATTTCGGTAAGAACTAGCTAGAAAGTAAGTGCAAATCAGTGCGCGAAACAGATCAAGGGATCAGAAGGCTGTAGGTCATGTCAGTACGGGTCATGTTACGGGTCAAAATGTACCGCCCTCAATAGTTAATTTTACACTACTCGGGAAAACTAACCGAGTTAAAAAGTCCAAGTGCGATTGACGGTAATATTTACCCTAGAAATGTTTACCGTGATGACGACGGTTACATATTCCCAAAATTTAATCCTGTACGATTGAGGCTTAAGACATTACAAAAGTACAGTGTAGGAGCTTAGTAGTATTAATATTATATTTTTATGTTGATTACATTGCTACAATTATTCATGAACATTTTTTCTTAACTGTTTTTCGTAAAGTATAACAGCAAGATGTCGTCTAGTTCTCGGAGATTTCACAATGTCATGTGACGATGTAAGTTTGCACTTTGACCTATCGGTTATTCTTTATGTTGAAAGTACAATGTCTGTGTTGAGGTATATAGACAGTATACTTACTATAATTTTTACTTTACCAGAGGCAGATTTAAAAGGTGGGGGGGAAAGAGTAAGGGGATACTTCCCCCTATTTTTTGTAAAAGAAGTCTTGTAAAGCCATATATCTATCAGAAAATTACCATGCTAAATAGTAAAAATTGAACTAATACATTCTCAAATTAACAAAGGTGCTAGAGGGGGGATTCACCTCCTTGCACCCCCAGCAGTGACCCTGCCCAAAGACTTTTGCTCTACTCACACATTCATGTCCCCCTCCCCTCTTTTCTTAACAGGCAGAATCTTTTTATTATATATATTTGGGTATATTTTATTGCAAAAAAGAAACTCATACAAAACAGTCTATTGCAGCATAATATATAAACTTGACAATTAAAAATTTACAAATCATTATTAAAATAGTGCAATAAAATTTACATTTAAAACACCATTAAATAGACAGACGAAGTCAAAAATTACAAAGACATTAGTTACATAAGAAAATATTAAGAGAGTCTGCCCCTGTTTACTTTTAAGTTTCAAATGTTTATTCCACTGTTTATTGTTTGATGTAACTTTGAGCAGATCTCAATTAAAATTAGACCGAGAAAAAAAAATGTTATTCCGTATTTAGTTATTGTAACAACTGTAAGGGATTGAGCATTTGTTCAAGAAGGACCAAATTTCTTTGTTGGTTTCATCGAAGACTGTATTGTAATTTTGCATTTTATGTTGGTTTTTCTTTTCTCAACAGACTGGAAAATTAATTCTAAAGCCAAATAGACCAACAACATGACACAGGCAGGATTATTTATAGACATTGGACAATAACAGTATTTATCAACTCAATATGTTTAAATAAACACCTGATGAACAGATTGCTTCCTGAATACTATAGCACTGTATAATTTGACCTGCAAAAAATTCCAGCAGCTTGACCTTTGAACTGCGGAGTTATTCTTGCGGAATATAATCTTCCTGCAGTGCATACTGTGTGTTTCCTAGCAATATGACTAAAGGATTTAAGTGTGTTCATCAGATTGGATGGAAATAGAGAACTAAATCATAGAATGTGGTTAACGAACCAATCATATTATTTCTTTGAACTGTATGAGGTCGATGACATGTACAGTCAACCATTGATGAACTTTGACCTGGATGGCAAACGTAACTATGGTATTTGAATAATGCTGCTCAATGCAAATTATATGTAAATCAACACTCCTATAGATTATTGTGATCAAATTTCCTGTTAGTATTATATAGTAGTAGACACCCCTGTCTGCAGCTACCTAAACATAGTTCTCTAATGACCTGAAATGCATGCATGATTTTCTATGTACTTTATTATCCATGCTGCAGCATATATTTTTACTTTTAATCTGATCAAATTTGAAAGTAATAACAATTTAGGATAACCTACTTATAACCAGGTAAACAATTACTTGAGGAAAATCATCATTTGTACCTTAATACATGTATTTTGAAATGATTTTGATTATGAAGACAATAAGTACAATAGTGTTTGTGTGTAAATATTGTACAGTTTACAAAAGAGAATGTTTTAAATACTCGTAATAAATACTCTCAATAATCTAAATTTGCGAAACATGTGCAGGAAGCCATCGCTATTTACAAAATTAAACATTTTCATAATTGTACATAGACAGAGAACAATGGCCAAGTAAAAAATAACATAGTTTCACGTCTCCAGCATTTTTTTTGCCTCCTCAATTTTTTATATTGTAGTGAACAAAGTCTAAAGTAGTTTGATACCTCTTTTTCCTATAGTATAATATTTGTACAATTATGAAACTGTTGTTAACTGTGAATGGTCCTTTATTTTGCACAAAGTTTTGCATTTTTTTCAAGGTAGTTTTGGATAATGAAATGTGATTGTGTTGATTTAATTGCCCATCAAAGGCCAGTAACCAGTGGGGGCTGCTATCATGTGGCCATAAAGTAGATCCACCCCCCTCCCCTTCTCTACACTTCAGTCCGACCCCATCCTGGTAATTCAAACCACGCTCTTCCTCCTCGAATCAGATACCATAAAAATGATAATGTATTTGTAATGTACTTTCCCTGGACCCCTGCAAGGGGTCCATGTGCCCCCTTGGCTCCTGGCTCTCGTAGTTAACCCCCTTTAAAGAATCCAGGATACAGATCTGCATGTCACATTCAAAGTCCTGCTATTTATATGGAATGTTGTATCAATCTTTTATGTATTTAATACCATTGATTGGGAATTTGAAACTCAGTAATCACTTGTATGTTACATGGAATTTAAGAGTTAATCAAGTTTAGGCTTACCCATGAGGAGCTGTTGCAGATCCAAGGGTGGATCACCTCCTCTTCCCCGGCAGCAGCCAAAAAAAATCACAAACCCAAGTGTGAAATCACTTAGATGGCTAAAACTCTGAAGTTTCCTGGACCCCACAATATGTAAGGGAATACCCTAAAGCCTTCAGCCCTGAGGTCCTCAATTGCCACCCGCACTACCCCGGCAAAAACATTCTAGGTCCCCCCAGACTGAGGAGTCTGCTGGTTCAGGAATTTGCCAAAAACCTTAGGAGATGAGTAATGTTGACCACTATCTGCTACGTAACTGGGGAGGTCTGTACCTGTGTTGGTTACTGCTAGGACTTATATGGTTACTGTGTATCGTAATATTAACAATTACTAGAGATTTCTCAATTTCTATAAATAAATGTGTTTTTAATAAAATACAATATTTTATGACCTATTTCAAACTTCTCATAATACTTTGTGTTAAGAAAGTACATTTTGACTTACACAATAGTTATTTTTCCAGACCTTTAAAGTTGGTGGTGGATTTATACCCATGCTGATCACTTGCATAAAGAGGTAAAAGGGCAGACTTGTTGTGCCTGTGGAATTGGTGTATGGATGAGAATATAGGGCACAAAAATGTTAGCCTTTTTATTCATTTTATTTTTCTTATCATTTATCTACTTAGAAGTTTTGTATACATACATTTTATTTGTAAATTCAAAATATGTCTAAATAAATAGTGCCAATTTGATATTTATAATGAATTTATGAGGCCTACAGCCATTTGTAAATGTAAATGCATTATTTATGTTATTAACATAAATGATGTGTGACAATCGTGTGAAACATTTGTATACCTCTATTTAAAATATTAGTTAATTTAACCTTCGCTATCTCTGTGTGGGACATACTATCTATTCTTCGGCAAACTCTGTTACCTATTCTCCTAAGACGACCTTTTACCTTACCTATTCTTATTAGTAAACCTATTTACTTTAACCTATTTAACTTACCCTCAAGAAGACACTACAACTGTTCTCTTGAGGAAACTATGTACGATACCTTACCTAATCATTTGAAGGATCTTTGGACTTCGTGTACCTTAATTACAATTTACAGATCACCCTTCAATTCGAAATCCCTTTAATCTCAAGACCCCAGTAATTTGAGACCACTTTTTGCAAGAACAAAATAATAATCTTCAATCTTTTAACACACAGCTATTACCCTAATTTAAGACAGAGCCCCGAGACCACCTTAATGTTTCATTGTTCTCTCCGATCTTTAAATGTATGGTCATTTGTGGGGGTGGGTATTAAGGGGGTGACGGGATGTAAACATGAGGAAGGATAGCTTGGAAAAAAAGTGATTTGTCTACCTGATAGTTAAGTATGGGAATACACATACCTATACCCCTCCCCAGTAGATATAACACTAGCTAGTTGTAATTATGCGATTTTTATATAATATCATACCCATGGGTAATAATACCCCGTGGCGTCTTGGAATAATACAGTTTTTATTTTTCATGATTTTTAATTGATTGTTATTATTGTTATTAAATATTAATTATTTTATCAATAGCTTTAATATTAATATAATTATTCTATGATTAATAATTATTTGGTTGTTTATCATGTTAACATTTTTTTTTTCAATTGTTGATGTCATTGTTGTCATTATTGTGAGGATTATCATTCAGTTAAGCCTGGTTCTCACAAGAGCCCTAGTATCCGGCTTGGGAGCTAACTGTTAGCACCTGTGTGAGAACGCCTGATCGGTTATCGCTAACGGTTAGCCAGCGCTATCGGTTAGCAAGTTAAGCACATTTCCATCATCAACCAATCACACATACACGTTTACATTTTCCAGTTTCTTATTGGCCAGTGATTTGATCATCATATTCTTGGCATCCGGGATTTTTTTGCATGGATGCTTGGCAGCTGACGCTTAGCAGGATCCGGATCCTGCTAACGTTAGCTGCCATGTGAGAACATAGGCATAGATTGTCAATGACAATGAATGTTAATGAAGGACCACTTTTGGGTGGGTTTATAAAGTATTATGAACATAAAAAGTAGATGTTCATTTGGGGCCGCAGAAACGTGGTTTAATTAGAGGGAGAGCTGTATTTACATTATTGTTTGTATTATTTTATTATTTGTTCTGCCATTAGGCCTACTAGTTATTAATTTTATATTGAGGATGTATGTTTTATGAAAATTGTTTTACTTCACTCTCTCAATATAGACAGTGCAAAAATTTATGGAACATTGTGAATAAAACTGAATAAAAAAATATCTGATAGAAGAAATATATAACGTCTACTTAGAAAAGTTCTTGAATGTGAAATAATTGACATTTCCGAAGGTGTATACAACAGAGGAATAGGAAACTTCATCCATGGCGTATACGAGACGAGCACGTATTATGGCCCTCTTCATTGACTGGTCGGTTAAGGCCTACATTTCCTTGGCTTCAATAAAATTATAAAATATCGGTGTCGGCGCCAGTGGGGATCAGAAGATTAAGCTTCCCATCTTCATTCCCCCTCCCCTACAACCCTTCTAACGGAAAAGAAAACACTTCTGTTATTTTAAGGGGATGGGAGGGCCTCTATTACGTTATAAATTGCCACGTGAACCCAATCGGGGCTTCGGTACTTGGAGCATGTTTCCATTTGTGTATGATGATTCCTCCGTGGTTTCAATGAGCAATTCAATGTGTCATTTGAATTTTGAGTAAAAAGGCAATGAACCTTTCAAGAGTGTCAATCAAACTATTGACCAATCATGACCTTAGCAACAATATAAAAGGGGTGGAGCTTAGCGGAAGAGGATATTCGCGCCTAGGTACATGATGTCCGGACTACTGTAATAGAAACACGCAGGAGAGAATGTAGGGATCTAAATTTATTCATCAGCATGATTTCGGGTACAAATAGGCCTACAGAAATCAAAATATTTTCTGCTTAGTTGTTTTCCAGCTTTTACGTCCAGGAAATTAAGCAATGGTTTAGATTGTTAAGGCATTTGCCTTTCAAATCGATTGTCCCTGTAGTTCGAATCCTTATATTTCAAGGGTCTGGAACTAAACTGTGTCATGATTTACAATAAATTCCGTTAAGAATTGATAATATAACGATACATTCATTCGGAAATTCTAAAACAATCGGGCCTGTTGTAACCTCAAAGTTATTGCACTAACATACGGCCTACAACAGTGCTCCCTAAGCTTGTTTCTATTTGTCCAATTTTTTATTAAAATTACCATATTATTGTTTTCAAACACTAAAATAAAGAAAATAAAGTTATAATACTTGTTTCGATAATTTTTGGTGTCTCGTTTGCCTACCACTATGAAGGCCTGCACCTTTCATAGAAAAAAACAATGACAGTAGTAGTAGTAGGGCCTATATTCTGTTGAGAATGTTTTTTGTAACAATAAATGAAATAATTAGCTCTGTACTGAAAATTCTAAACCAATGTTGCAATATTGATCATATTCGTTGTAGTAATTTCGTCTATCAATATTTCCAATAGACTTGGAATCTTGCAGATGACCCATTCATGTAAAACGTCTGTGCTACGAATTGCAACATCTTTTATTTAATGTCCTTTGCATTGCATCTGTCACAGTATAAACATCCGTACCACTGACGTCAAAGACGATCATATTGGAGGCCTCGAATAAAACTACATTTTTCAAACGATCCAGGATTTTAGCCAACTTCCGCCACGGTTTCCCGCGCGACGAATCATTTGGTTGCTTCTGATTTTCTCCTAGTTTTGCTGGTATCTGTTCGTCCTGTGTATTGCATGAACTCGCCATCAGTCCTTTATAGCTGACTACTGCGTGAAGTAATAAAATAAATATTAGGCTACTTTCTGCTAATGGCTTTCAATGGTATAGAGGGTAGTGGAGAGGGGGTTCGGAGGGCGATGTAACGCCCGTTCCTCTTAAAACAATACCATTTAATATTATAATAAATATATATTTCAGATGAACCAGACCACGCCTCCGATCCCTTTCTCGATATAGCGTTAGCGTTACTAAAACTTAAGTCTACATAAACACAATCTAGACCTATTAGGCCTATAATTTTTTAAGTAAATCAAAAGACAAAGTGGCGAGACCCATTCTTAAATTTGGCAGTTTATTTCAAACGAATAATATAAAATCCTTTTTCGAACTCAGACATGCAAAATGCGAAAGGTCAATGTAAAGCTAATGAGATTGAACAATCATTCCAAATTCGTCAAGTTCGGGCCCACATCTATATAAACTTGCAAGGCGGTTAGAAAGAAGTCCGAAACTTAATCTTTAGAATATTCTTTATTGTCATTTACAATTATATGCTTATAACATTCTTATACACACATAATTTCCAATTACCTTCTGTTTATATGTCCAATGCAAGTATAAATTTCCTCAGGTCTTTCACAGTTTTCCCGTGCAGCGCAGCCTATATATCGAACGCCTACAGGGAGTACCAGCATATCCATGTGAACTATACATTGATAAGCTTCATTGCGTTTACTTTTCAATTGCGTGCGTCATTATATTATGGTTACATAATATAAAGCTGTATTTAAATTCTTATTCATCTGCAGCACAGTGACATTGAAAACCATTAACAATGGAGAGCAACAATTGACCAAAGAACAATTCGGAAAATGAAATGTATGCATAATTAGTAACGAAAAGTGATCGCTCCTCTACTCATAAAAAGCCAGAGGCTCCGGATAGGGAAAATTGATTTTTCCCAGTTTTTAAATATTCAAAAATTTGTCTGTATCTTAATAAACGTTCCCGAGTTTTTCGTCAGACACCTTTTTGTGTCTAGTCTTAGAAAAATCAGTTGTAAAACATATAATTTTTTTTTTTTCGTCAGGAGCCTTGCTTTAGTCACGCCTATGATTGTATTGTATATTAAAGCACAACCGAGTATTGTGGGCCACTCCCCCTTAATGTAGCCGGAGATAATGTCAAATTGACATTACCAACAATAATATTTTATAAACCTTACTACTGTATAATTGAATTAAACTAACGTTTTCATGCAAGGCCATACAAAAAGTACCAGCAATTTTCCTATCGTGGCCACACATACCGAAATAACTGACAAGAAAACATTTTGTGTCTGTTTAGTTTAGTACGCCTAGTCATATACATATTATGATATCTCTACTACTGAATTAATAGGCTATGTTTGTTTTGCGTTTTATACCAGTGGCCGGGTCCATTGGGTGGCGAAATGGTCCCCAGCCCCTTCAGCAGCATCAGACAAAAGAAAAATATCTGTGAAAGTATTGCCTTTCATGTGTAAAGGACACAAAACTTAGGCTACTTCTTCAGGGAAACACCAAAATGATGAAAATTTAAAAATAATATTCACGAATTATGGGTTTCAGAAATCTATTATAACAAAATGCAACTTCGCCCCAAAACCCCGCCTAAGATCGCACCTGGACCCCTAAATTAAAAAAGTCAACATTTAAAAAAAAAAATGTTTAATTAAAATTTTTTTAATTATCGCGAAATGCTGCATTGTATTTTATTTGCTCGCTCTTTTAAAACTTTGATTTTTAGTAACGGTGATACGAAATTTGTTGGTAATTGGTCAGCTATAGTGATTGCAGATTGATTCATATGAAAAATGTTATCTGTTGGAGTACAGATGAAAAGCACATAAAATGGTACTATTTCAGGTCCCCAACAACATCCAGGGGTGAGTGAAGTCAAGGTTCCCACCAACAAAAGTGTAACGCTTATGTGCCCGTCGGTGGGATTTTTCCATTCATGAATTAGATTAATTGATTAATTTGATGGTTGTTTAATTGGCTGATTGATTGATTGAATTGTTGCTTGGTGTCGGTAGATTGGTTGGTTGGTTGGTTGGTTGACTGACAGATCGATTGTTTGATTGATCGTATCTTAGCTGAGCGCAGACACGCGTCATACTTTGCTCGAATTTGTACATAATCTCAGTAATTATCTGGCAACGTTTGGTTTGTTTATATTTTTCTCTTCGCACATGTAAGTTTTTGGAAGTCGAGTTGAGTAGCGTTGTTGTTATTTTGCATGATGGAAGGTGTTGCGTTTCCCTCTGTGACTTGCAAAGCTCCAGTAAATATTGCAGTTATTAAGTACTGTAAGTTGATAATCTAATAGTGTACAGTATTACATAAATCTACACCATGATATATTATGTAAACTTAGGCGTACACATAGGTTTCTGAAGGCCAAGCCCTACGCGGCGGAAGATCACTTCCTCATAATTCACGATGGGGAATTCCCCGGCTAGAAAGTTACAGGACTGATAAAAACTGCGGCAGGGGAGAAGGTTTCGGCCTGCGGGGCAGGGGCGGATTTAGGGAGAAGGGGGCCGGCCCGACCCCGGCCCCTCTTTTGAGAGTTAAAAAAAGAAAGAAAAAGAAAAAAATTATAGCCCACAACGCCTCTAATGTTATTTTCGGGCGTCTAGTAGAACACAAAAATTTCGCGGGGGCATGCCCCCGAGCCCCCTAGGACATTGTTGTCTCAATCGGCCCAAATTTCGCCCCCCCCCCCTTTTGGACATCTCTGGATCCGCCCTTTGGGAGGGGACGAAACCAGCGATAATACGGAACTAAATCCATGTTCCAGTGAAAACTTAATGCTCATTTTTTTGTATTTTACAGGAACTAATTTGCCACCATGATTGTTTGAATGTATTTTATTTTGTTTTTCTTCAGGGGGTAAAAGAGATACGGAACTTGTTCTTCCCCTCAACTCTTCTATTAGTTTCACTCTTCGAACTGACCACCTTTGTGCCACAACTACAGCTGCAGCATCGCCAACATTCAAGGAAGATCAACTATGGTTAAATGGAGAGTAAGAAGGCATTTTGTTTATTTATTTTATGTTCTTGTTTTTTTCTGAACAAACAACAATTTGAATGGCCCCTCACCCCACTTGTGGACATCTCTGTATCCGCCACTGAGAAACACCTGTTACCATACTATAATAATATTGCCAGTTTGATTAAAACGCCCATTTTGTCCTTATTTTTATTATGTACAGTAATATATATCTTATGTTTAATGGGAAAATCCATTGAGTAAATAATTCCAGCTTAGCCAAATGGTAATCAGGGGGTCTTTTTTCTCTAAAATATCACTTTTTTCTTGTTTCAGAAAAATAGGGAAAACTAGACTACATGCCTGCTTGAAGGAAAGTAAGTATTGAAATGGCCGTATAATAAATATATATTGAAATGAAAGTCTCATCAATTATCAGATGATGTTTTAAATTTAATATAAAGGAATGTCATAAGAAAACTTCAGGAAGAAAAAATGTGATTATTTTATTCATTATCACAATAATGATGATATTAATGATAATTGTTATTTAAAATATAACTGGTAATGACTGAACTAATATAACCACCTTAGTTTAATTAAAATATTTTCTTTATATTTAACTTTATCTTCAGTGCACAATTAATACTTCAGCAAGTAAATAATGCAAATTATCAGTAATGTTTTGAGGTTATATTTTTATCTTTTTTAACCTCTCAGTTCGCCGCAGAGCTCGGAAGAGGAAGAGTGACAATGACAAAGATGACAATGTGTCAGAGATGTTAAACTGGAATGTACATATCTGCTCCAAGAACAACTTCCCAACAGCTGCTGGTTTGGCATCATCAGCAGCAGGTTATGCCTGTCTTGGTCAGTAGTTTCGAAAGCAAAAGTATGGCATTGGGATTTTAATTGAGAGGTCATGGGTGAGATAAATTTTCATCAGATTACTATGTGGTCATTCAGCCCTGCATAAACAAGGCTGTAAATGAAACATAAATGTTGATAAACCAGGGGTGAATCCAGAATTTTTTAAACGGGGGGGGGGGGGCATCAATTTCATAAAGCCAAGATGTAATATAATTATAAATAAGTATCCAATAATGCTATGAATCATGTTCAGTATATGCTGTTACAAAATATTTTAACAGAATTTGTAGGCCATTTTGTATTTTTTTTTTAAATAGCTTATTACTGCTTACTTTTTTTCCACAAATTTCAGCCTACTCTCTTGCGAAACTGTTCAAGATTGAAGGAAATATTTCAGATATAGCTCGGCTAGGATCTGGTAGTGCAAGTCGGAGCGTGTTTGGTGGCGCAGTTGTGTGGGATATGGGGTCTGATAGCAATGGGTCAGACTCTATTGCAAGGCAAATATATCCACACACACATTGGCCTGAGTTGAGGGTAGTCATCCTTGTGGTAAGTGGACTTTTAGAAGTGGATTTAAGTCTGATCAGATAACTGTGTATCTCGTAAACAATGTCTAAAGCCCTATCCAAACTATCAAATTTTGTTTGACAAAAACATGTGACATAACTAAATATGGTCATGATGACCATATATAGGCACATTGTGACTATATATGGGCATACAACCAAGCTTAAAACTAACACTAAATGGAAGTCATAATGATGACAATTTTGTTAGCTCAACTTGGATTGTACTGTATATTTCAAACACTAAATAATAATTTTATTTTTCATAAAATAAATATTTTATCATTCAGCCCTGTGCCGAAACAAGACTGTAGAGAGAACAGAGAATAAGTTAGATTAAAATTTCCAAAAATAAAATAATTTTACTGTACTTAAAAAATAATAATTTTACTAATACATTTCATTAGATAATCATTTTTGGTTTTTTGCAACTGTCAGGTCAGCGATCAACAGAAGAGCATCAGCAGTTTCTCAGGCATGCAGTGCAGTGTTGAGACTAGTGAGCTACTGCAATATCGGATCAAACAGTGCGTTCCTGCAAGATTGGATGCATTGATCAAAGCAATTGGGGAAAAGGACTTTGAAACATTTGCAATCAACACAATGAAAGTAATTATCCGATTAATATTTCCTAACTAGAACACCCCTTGAAGATAATAGAACCATTCATCCTAGAGCAACTGTATTACCCACCATATGAGCATCCTTATTTCAATTTGATTCATTTTATTTTGTATACTATACAAGTATTCAAAAGTATACTATAATTGTGAAATATTTTTATGCACTTCATCTGGATAAAGTTTTCTGAAATTTACTGAAGTGAAATTATTCATTTTCTAGGAAAACAATCAGTTTCATGCTGTGTGCTTGGATACGTACCCTCCCATCTCATACTTAAATGACACATCACATGCGATCCAGCAACTAGCCCACAGTTTTAATGAACACTTTAAATGTGCAAAGGTAAGTTACAAAGTGTTAAAAACGTGCCTTGACTTAATCTATCATGAGCGCATCATGGCTGAGTGAGGTCCACTAAACTGATGGCAGCCACTGTGTGTGCGTTGAACCATGGAGATCATTTTGTACCTGGTTTTAATTCCATCTGCTGCTCTCCGGTTTGGCTAGTACAGTATAAAAGCACAATATCTTTGAGATGAGTAGTGGTGTCGGATCAAAAATTAAAAAAAATAATAACTTGCTTATCCAAGTAACGTTATTTTGATTGCCAATCCCTAATGTTGTGGTCTAAAAGCACAATTTGGACCATTCTAAGCCATAAAAAAATCAACCTGTGAACCCTACAAGAGGTTTTTATTCTGTTACCCAAACCAAGGCTCTATTCAGCCCCTTGGTTCGGACACCTGGTCGGCAAAAATCTGGAGCCACCTTTGAGATGAGACAATTAAGCCCTTGATCACATGTGCAATGTGGTTTATGTGCACGTTAAAGAAAACAGTACTCTTCAAAATACAGTGTGGGAAATTGCCTCCCGGTGTAATGCAGTACACCGGGAGACAATACCCCCACTGAGTACTGCCCAACCTCCACCAGAAGGACCCCATTGGAAATAAGTCTCTAGACTTTCGTGGTTTATCCTTTGATGCTGACAGTGCCACCAATGAGTAAGTTGGTTTAGAAATGGACTAAAAAAATTCGAAAAAAAAAAGAAAGAAATCAAGTATGGGACACCAATTAAATTTGGTATGGCGCGCACTAAGCGCAATAAAAAGTAAGTGAATTTAGGGCCTGGAATCCAGGCTAGTGTTCACACATTAAATACAATCTAATCCAATTTAGTCAAAATATTTTTTTTTTTACATTCAGGTTGCATACACGTTTGATGCTGGTCCCAACGCCACATTGTACATGCTTGAGGATACTGTTGACCTGTTTATCAATGTTGTACAACACTACTTCCCACCAGAGGTGAATATGAATGAGGGGCCGTTTGTAAAAGGTTTACCTGTAAATGATATTGATAGTATTGATGAGGTATGTTGTGTCATAGAGTTTCGATATATAAAAGATAAGCTATCTTTAATAAAAGCGAATGAAGCTCTATTAATTTGCTTACAAAATATAGATTAACACACAGATAGAAGACAATACTAAATTCTTTCCATTAACTCATAAACTGACTGGAAATAAAGTTAATGGCATTTCAGCTAAGCTCCGCCCCTTGGATATTGTTGTCAAGGTCCTACAAAAACTTACTCAAACATGTGCATTTGTGAGACACGCCAGTATTACTATTCCTGGCCCTGTTCGTAAGTTTTGATAGACACTCCAAAAAAGTCCTTTGTCAAAAACTTAATTGTTTATTGAATACGGTACTTCTGTCAATTCGTTATCTTACAGTGCCTACTCGAGTTCCACTCTGTGCCTAGGAAGCCAGGTGCCATTAAATACATCATCAGTACGTCCATAGGATCTGGACCAGAGGTTGTCACGGATCCCAACGAATCACTGCTGGGAGAAGATGGATTCCCTAAAGATTTAAAATGCTCCTCTTAGCAATTTCATGTATTTGTAGTTAATATGTTGATCCAGTGCCATAGATGAAAAATTATATATGTCACAAAGCACAAATGTTCGTCAAAAAAAATTTAATATAGACATATTGTTTCTTAAAATTTAGGCGATTCTCTCCAAATCCCAATTTCTAAGAGACCCTTGCTGTTAAAGGTAAGGCATGACAAATTTAGGTAGAGGAGGGACAATGGATAGTTTCTCCATTGACTGGTTTATCACATGACCATTCTTTTTGTTGGTAAATTACGCAATTTCTACTGGAAAAAGTATAATTAAATATAAATGAATGCAAATTGTTAATATTTATTTTGTAGTTAGTGGTGTACACTCCTAAATGGAAGCAGCAATTAGAAACACACTCTTTCGGGTGAATTACATTCTCTAAGAGGAAAAATATATTTAATGATAATGTATATTCATTTCCTAAGGAAGTATTTGCAACATGTTTTATGCATTCCCTAAGAAGCATTTAGTAAATATTCCCTAATAGGGATTTAATTACATACATTCCTGTTGTAGCATTTTTAGTTGTATTCTATAAGCATTTAAAGTCTAAAAAAATGATTTTAATACACAGATTAAAAAGGATGATTTTTTATATTATTATAATATAATAATGATACAAATAATTATCTCTTATTATTACAGAGATTGTAATGACACATTAAAACAATAAAGTAAATAAACAATAAATTTTTTTTACATATTTTAGTATGTCATATTTACTGATTCGAGGTTCGTGTTTAATATTCAAGTTGAAAAACTCTAAAATCTGCAGTGCCTACTTCAGCTCAAATGTCCACTGGAACGTCGCGTGATGTGGATGGAAGTGGACGTGATGATGCAACTTCCGCAATCCATCACTCCCGACTGTGTTAATATTCTCTGGCATGAAGTAGATTCCTTGCTTTGTGTTCATGTCCCAACTGGGTTCACCATTAGGCTTCAGGTTCAGTAAGCCGGTTGAGACTGTGATATAATCACCAAGGTCGAAGTCCATCCACACAGCAATACCATGGCATACCCCCTCTCTAAATGATAATGTAAACAAAATAGATTAGGAAAAATTTTCACTCATCTTGGCATATACCTTGAAATATTCTCCTAATGGGGAGATCCAAGGTTGTATAGCACTCCGCCTTAAAGGTAAAATACCCAAACTGTAATCTGAAATTCTTGAGTTCATTTCCCGATGTAGACATGTGTCCTTATTAAATATTAATTATCGTCTTTAATAATCACCAGCAGGTGTTTCTCCATACCATAATTACTATAATCATGTGATTCTCTCAGCCGGCTCTACCCACAACTAATGCAATCCCTGCCAAATCAAATGAAAGCTGGCGAATGTCCGAAATTGACCTGTTGAAGCTGCCGACTAAACTCCATTTAGGTTCGAAGTTCAGATCCACCCAATCCCAGGTCAGCTGATATTTGGGACCCTCTTAAATAAATAACATATTGTGGTGCTCTAGGTAACTAGGGATACTTTTTAAAAATCATTGGCGTTTTTCAGAATTTGAACCCAGGACCCTCAGATTTGAATTCAACCATTTCAACTAAACCACCAAGCTACAACCCCAATATCAGGTGACTCACATTGTCATGTGATACTAACCTGATGAATTGAATGCAGCCTCTCTTTTCAATACTCTCTTTTGGAATGCTGCTGTTGAAATCAAATTCCATTAAACTAAAGGGCTCAGAGAGCGCCCTCGATGGGTACTCCCAAAGATGGTGAGGATCCATTCGCTCATCAGCAAGCTTTGAAGATCTCTGTGGTACAGAAGACATAATCATGAACATTTCTGCTTAATTTAAGACAATTTGGTGTAAATGGTGATAATCATACATGTCATAAGGATAATGTCAGATAGTCAATGACAACCATTTGTTCTGCTTTCCTCAAAACTTTATTATTATTATCAATAGCTTTCATAAAGAACAATACAAATCAGCCTGTATTTTTAGTACCTGAACAATTACATCGAACTCTGCAAGATTAAATCCTTCTTTTTCTATGACTGGGGCATGGAACTTCCAGAGGTGATCAAATTGCAATGCCATTGCTTTAAGCGTTCCAGCACGAGGCAGGACAGTGCAGTCAGATGCAAGGAGATGGCTGAGGGACTCCTTGGCATACCAGAAGTGAAGATCGTGCCACGGCTGAAGTGAGCTGGAAAAGAAAGGCTCACCCATCACAACATCAATCTGAAAAGGGATGAAGTGTCACTTGTGAGAGATTGCTATTGTTTTCTGCAGACTTGCTGGCCAAGTTTATTGCCAGAATTGATGCAATCTTGTCAAATATTTGGACAGAAATATAAAATTGTGTAGAACTTTTCCTAAAAATATCAATTTATATACATAAGCCAGTTTAACACTCTGCCCGCCAAACACGGAGATCTCCGTGTTTGGTAACATAACGCTTGACCGCCAAACACAGAATCTCTGTTTCAGGTTATTTTACAGAATCCGATGGGGTAATTACCGACATATACTGGACCGTAAGTATTTCACTATTTGTTTGTTTATATTAGCGTAGAACGGTATTGATTTACTTTCACGAAATCGCGATTCTCTCAGCTTCATTGTGCGAAATTGCGTAAATTTCCAAAAGTGAGTCATTTTCCATTTTACTGCTACAGGTCACAGATTGTGATTAGAATATAGTGTTTTTGTACCATTGTAGAGCTAAGATGTTTGTAGTTCTTGTAGTATTCATTACATGTTAATCTGATCACATACGCACTCTCAACAAGCTTCGAAAAAGTGTTAAAATTCGCTAAAATTTCTGGCGGTGGCTGATACCATTTTTTCAAACCCCTGGTGGTCAGAGAGTTAATGATTTCCATTTAACAAGGAATTATGAAATATTATGTATTCCAAAATTAAATACAAGCGTAATATTTGTATTCATTGATTCCTTTACCCATTCATTCTTTTAAATATATAACATAGGAACATGTCATTTATTGATTTATAAAGCATTACGTTCCATTCAATTTACCTTTTTATCTCCTATATCCAAGCCTTGAATTGTTGCAGGACTTTTCTCAATCACCTTCACTTGGCTTAGTTTGTTGTGCTTAGCTATCTCTAACAAAGGTTGTCTTCGCATAAAGCTGTTCTGGGTGAAAGTTAAAGCCTGCAGGTGAAAGTATAACAAAAATGTTACTGTACTTATACTCTCTGTATTAAAAAAGTGTGAAAATAAAAACCAGTATGTAAGTTGCTTAACTTAATATATTTAATGAAGCTGATTTCTTTCAATTACAGTGAGAAAGTATTTTCCTTGCCAGTTAACAGTCAGTCTCTCTTTAAATATAAAATGAAAGTAGTACATACATCAAATGTAATGTAAATCAATAGTGGCAGATCCAGGAATTCAAAACAGAGGGGGCCCGGGGAAGGGGTATTTCCCAGTGGTTGGGGCTGAGTTAAGAACATTTATGATTAAGGTTCTAGATGGCCGGAAATGGCACTCTCAGATTTAATTTTGAATATAATTTTCCTTTTTCCCTTATTTTTTTATAATTCTGAAAAATTTAGGGGGCTCTGGGCCAACTGGGCCTCCCCTCTCTTGAATCTGCCACTGATGAATGAATCACCTTCAATATTTTCTGATTTGTATAATTTTACCTTTTTAGCACCAAGTCTTGCTGCGATGAGTGGTAGATGGGAGCCGTCACTGATGACTGAACAAATGCTATCTTGCTTCAAAACCTGTAGTTAATACATAAATAAGATTGTTATGTGGTTAAAAATCAAACTCTGTGGGATAATAAAAGCATACTTAAAGCTCTGTCCGCACTATCAAATTGTGACAAATTTGTGTGATGTGCCCATATATGGGCATGATGATGTCAGATTACACCCAAATATGGGCATATCACATTTATTCGTCACATAAAATTTGCTTTCATACGCATACTCCGCTAGATATACTTAAGGTAAATTTTATTATACAATGCACCTAAAGCTATGTCCACACTGAGATGTTTTAAGTGACAAATATGTGTGAAGTGCCAATATATGGGTGTGACATCATCATGTCCATATATGGATTTAATATGACATCATCATGCCTTTATATGGGCAAATGGCAGGTATCTGTCATAAAAGTAATGTAGGTTCTTTACCTTCTTGAGAGCTGCTACAAATTTATCTGTTGTTGTCTGATCGTTGAGTTTGCGAATTCTGGAGCGACTGAGCAGGACATGTGCTCCACATGTGCAAATTGGTCTCTCATCATCATCACTTGGGTGATTCACATTTTGGTTATCATTAGTTGATTGGACACTAAACCAAAGACTGTAGTCATCATGTGAGAGTCTAATAGCTAGATTCTCCCCTAGAAAATGTCAAAATCAGATATAAAGATATCATCATTTGTCATGAAACTAGAGAGTGACAACCACTCAAAGATGGCACCACAAAGGGTTCATTTTTTAAAACTTTCCTCAACCAAGTTGTACTAAATAGATGTGTAATTTAAGTTCTCCTTGTTGGCCTTGCTGAAAGATACTATTGATACATACCTTGTTTAATGGCTAAAGGAGAGGGAAGGTAGTAAATAGATTGCATCCAGTGATCTCTCCAGGGTGCTGCATCTCCGTCAGGATGTGCCCATGTTGGTGCTGTGCTTAAGATAATATCACCTGCAGTGTCCATCTCAAGAGACCACCACATAAACACAGCATGGCAAAAACCGTTCGTAAGTGCTTTCACCTCATGTAATTTAGTTCTCCTAGCTTCAAAATCCCCAGTGCTAAAATTAAAATCAATCATGCTAACTACATCTGTGATTGGTTGAAACTGGTCCGCTCGTATTTGACTCAATTGGACATCATGCACAGAGGCAGCACCAGCACAAGAATCGATCTCCTTTATTGGAATGATGTCACCGCATCCGGCAACTTTGATTGGCAGGATCTTATGCCATTTCCAGATGAATTCAGACTGGATGACTTGGACATAAACAGTGGCTGAGTGAGGAACAGATATACAATCTTCAGTTAAAAGATGCTTATGGGCATGGTGGAAGGTTGGTACGGCACCTTCCCCTATCAACTCGGTGTCAAAAACCTCTGTGGCAAGGATGTTTGCCCTGCGAGGAAGATCCCCATCTGGGCCTACAGTCAATTCTGTTGAACGCTTTCCAATTACTTTGATTTTCTCAGCAAAGCCATTTTGTGCGACAATTTTTCTAGCACCTTCAGCGATAGGTGGAAATGCCTAAAAAGAATAAGTAAGTTGGTTAAGATTGCATCTCCTAAGTCTGTAATAATCATTTGATGCTCCTTGTTATTTCACATATTAACAGAGTTTTGTGTGATGTGCCCATATATGGGCATTATGATGTCATATTACACACAAATATAGACATGTATTTGTCACATAAAATTTGATAGTGTGGAAAAAGCTTGTGGGTATACTGTACCTCACATGCATGGACAGTGTCGGCTCCGGCCGTTGCAGCCATCATAGACAGGAGACCAGTACCGGCGCCAATGTCCAGCACATGGGCTTTCTCTCCCCTTGCATGGACGGCCTGAATAGCAAGCCTTATTCCTTCATAATATTTCTTGTTCTAACATAAAAAGAATGGAAAGATGTTAAATGTAATTAAAATGAATAAGAACTAGAATTATCACCTTTTCCTTCAATTGAAGAGCACACACCACTATATATATATATATTGTAAAAAAATATTACGTACTGTATTACAACACATAGAGCATATTCAAGGAATCTATCTTGATGAAAACTTGTAACTAAAGTCAGAGCTTCTCCATAAGAAAAATGCTCAAATAATTATTGTTATCATTTTTTCTCCCCAATTTTTTTCTACAATTTTTCTTCTTTTTTTTTCCTACTTATTGTTATTGACATTTTCTATAAAATTGGATTTATACAAAAGAAAATTGATATGACTTTTTAAAACTTGAGGTTTTAACAATGCCAGTGGTGTTCAGCGGGTGAGTTTCCTTACCCTTTCATGATCATGTAGCATATCTGTGTACCCTGATCTTGCTATTTCCTGGTGATAATCGTAAACCTCGTTTTCAATCACCCATTCTGCTTCACCGGTGATTACGTTGATTCGTGAACATAATGGCTTGCCCTCCATTGTGCAATACTCTTTACATTGGGATGTTCTTCGGTAAACAATTTTGGTAACTATCTGGTATAAAACTTTGCTGCTATGTTTACCACTGATGAACTTGTCTGAAGGTAGTGTTCTCAATGCAACTCTTAAAGTGTTCATCAGGTCTCAAAAATGAGTTTGATCAGCCATATCGTAAATATCCTATCAAAAAATCCAAGAAATAAATCTGTTTAAATAGAAAAAATATAGGAATGATGTTTTGTCCAATGTGTATCACACACTGAATCTTAGTACAGCATGTCCTCAAAACTGTGAAAAAAAACCCATGAAAATGATTCAGGTGGGAATCGAACCCATAACCTCCAAATATCAAGTCTGGCATCATAACCACCACACCACTGACAGTGAGCCTGCGCTAATGGCTAGGTATTTTTCACAAGTACTTGGGAACATGGTATTGTGTGTGCGCAATAAAAAACAGACGGTCAAATGGAGCAAAACATAATTATTGAGGTTCCTGGTGTAAATATCTGTGTGACGACTCCCTGACTTGATGTGCTTCAGCTTCTCCAGGGACTCCCCCAACAGTATGGATCTATCATCTACACATCTTTCAAAATAAAATAAAAAATACATAGAAGAAAAAAAAAAATAAATAAATTTTAGGATCACTTCCTGCCAACCTTTCAGCGATCTTCAAGAAGGCAGAAGATTCGGTATGGTACCCTAGTTTCTGACCATGGTAGGCCTACTACTGTACTCTAGCTAGCCTAGGCTAGGCCTACAAATATTATGCGCAGACAATTAAACAACTTTCACTTACTTTGCGTTACAGCAAGTAATAACATATTATTTGAAAAATAATACTTATTAGTTTAATTTATATAAGTGCATGTTAATGTTAATAAAAACCTACGAAATACGGAAAGAACGATTCTTTCACATTTCCACAAGTGAGCGAGCTGTATAGCACATGTTTGCCTACCTTTAAGAAATTCAAACATTACAGTATACGATGATCGTGCCGGTCCACAAGTATTTTCAAACTTATTTGTTTACACTTTGATGTATAGAAAAGTCAAAACCAAGAGGAAGGTGCACCACTCTGGACATTTCGACAAATATTTAAAGATTATTGATTATTGTAAACGTTGTGAGTATTTTTGATAAACTTCATGAATTGAAGCATTATTATGGAATAATTATGATCACGCATGCTATGGCCACTACTACTGTAGTTGGTACTGATCAGGTTATATCATCTTTCTTATCAAACGTCAGTCTAGTTCTAGTAGTAGGGCCAGCCGGGGCTTCCGTCCACTGGTTGATTGAAAGGGGATAAACAGTTTCTGTCCCCATGGGATATACTTTTTCACAAAAGTAAGTGATCTCATAGGCTACTACGACGATACTCAGAATGCTGTTGTCCAAAGGTTTGGATGTTCCGCAGAGTAAATGTTACTAATATTAGTACAAGGTGGTAGTAATAAATATGATGTTAAAAGTTACAGTGACAAGGATCATGTTTTTCATAATATAACCTTTTGTATTATTTATTCAATGAATTAATGGTATTCAGTTTAGATTCAGTTCTTTTTCATTTACAAATTCTTGAAGATCAAATTCGGGCCAAGTATCGTGCTGCAATCAGGGTGCTGCAATGTACTCGATCAAAATTCCGAATATCAGCCACAGGGTAATCACCTCGAAACTTAGACCATCGGAACTCTTAACCTTCTTCAGAACTTTTGGCCGACAAACAGCAGTCAAAAAGACAGTTGTTAAACCAAAGAAGCAAGTCTTCAAGAAAATGGCATTAGGTGTGATGGTTGCCGTGCCGACAGGTGGGATTGGTACCTATGTGTGGATGAGTGATATAAACAAGAGAAAAACACGAGTTACCTTTGAAGGATTGGTTCGTTTTTTAAGGTTAGTTTTAGAGAAATTTATTATTTTTAAACTTATGAAATAATTATCATCATTGCATCATGCTTATGTTATTTACTATAAATATTATGAAGTATTATTATATTAAATGGCTTTTTCCTCCTATGTTTTTCCCATATTATAGCCGTCCCTCACCTCAAGCATAACAAGTCCAGAAGTTTAACAAAACATTATCTTGCATACAACTTTTATTGGTGATTAAGTAATTATAAATGACTGTAATTAACCTTGGTATTGAGATCTTCATCAGTGTTGCATAATGATGAATGGAGTTTTGAGAAAAAATATGTGAAAGAAACTATAAAAAGATGTATTGGAATGTCATAGTTATTCTTTATGTTTTTATCTCCTTCAGGACTTTTTACAATGGGTTATTCATTGGTTTGGATTACAAAATTAACCTTTACGGATTAGATGATTCAACAACAGAAGAATACAAGATAAAATTTAAGGAGATTAATGAGCGCACTGCAGATCGTATACTTCGTGTTTGCCTCACCAATGGTGGGCTGTACATCAAATTTGGACAGGTTCTAGGCACCATTAATCATATTCTTCCAAAGGAGATCCTAACAAAGTTGGCTGTTTTACAAGATCGAGCATTAGAGAGGAAAAATAAAGAAGTAGGTGAAAGTTATATTGAAATCAGTATTATAATGAAGAGATGAATATTCATGAATATGGTATAATTTTACAGAATTGCGGTTTTTATGGCTACAGTAAGTTACAAGCCGGGGACTCTCTGCATCCCACAACCGTTGGCCGATGAACACAATCCCGCTCCCTGTCAGTGTTAGACAACACAACGCCATCTGCTGGTTGTCGGTGGCAGTCGGAACATCATTAAAAACAATCGTTGTGTGCGCGTCATGGTGTTGCTTTCTACATAGAATCGACAACCGTTGGGTGGAGTGAGGGCCTACCTTTAGAGAGGAAATTGTAGAACCTTGGGTAAATCAATATGAATATTTTCCAGTGTAATGAGAAAAAAAAATATTCATGAATATTATGATTTTTTGTACTAAAGGTATGGTGTGATTGTTCTAGTGTTATAGTGTTCTAGTTTTATTCTAAAATGTATTCCTATCAACATAGGACTTACTAATTGTTCCTTTTTATGGATTCACTTCTCTCAGATTGATAATCTGTTTCTTGAAGATTTCGGAAGCACGCCTGATAAACTCTTCAGAGAGTTTGAACCCGAGCCGATTGCAGCAGCTAGCCTTGCACAGGTTCACATAGCAGTCACTCATCAGGGTGATGAGGTTGCTGTCAAGGTGATGTCTTTTACTACCATTTTTTAATAATTGTAATCATACAGTATAATTATTCAATATATTTAACTTTTTTATTAATGTATATGATGTACATGATGTCAATTTTTGTATCACCTCATTATTTCAGTATCCAATAATTCATATATCCCACAAATCATGTTTTTATCCCATAATTCATCTTTCTAATGATTCATGTCTTTGTTATTGTTTCATATAAATCATCTTTTTAGTGCATAATTTATATTTTTATTCCATGATATTTCAATCCTATAATTCATATTCTACGCATGATGCAAATATTTATATCAGAATAACAAGTCTCTGTCCAATAATATTTTTCTATCCAGGGATTTCTGATCCTATCCAATAATTCATGTTCTCCTATCCCACACATCATGGTTCTAACGCTTATTTCAGATTCAGTACATAAATCTGCGTGATCAGTACAGTGGAGACCTGAAGACTATGGAGATCCTCTTGGATGTTGTCCATTGGCTCTTTCCAGAACACTACAACTTCAAGGAAATTCTCAAGGTAAAGAATTTTTCCCTCATTCTAAAAGAAAGTAATCTTATTATTAATATAGTTATTCTTATCAATTTTCCTAAAATACTTCATTTAACTTTTTCGGCAGGAGACGAGAGGACCTCTTTCGCGAGAGTTAGATTTTGAGAATGAGGGTCGCAATGCTGAGAGATGTGCCAGAGGTTTGAAGCATCTTCCTTATGTGTATGTGCCGAAGATATACTGGAAAACATCATCAAAGGTAAAACATTGTTTGGGAACTCCTTTGGTGATACCAATGTTTCGAAATGCTGTTAAGTTGCCGGCGATGATAGTAAACTAACATTTCCTATTTTCACAGCGAGTTCTTACAATGGAATACATACACGCCCTAAAAGTGACTGATGTAGATGGCATTAAAGAGATGGGTCTTTCATTTGCTGATGTAAGTAAAAGTAGAGATGAAACCATCTAAGCTTTAAACAGGTTTAGTTCCTTTTTTTTTGCCAGACTGTCAAATGTAGTATATTGTATGTTTTCTCTTACTCTTTTCAAATAGTGAATTTGAGTTCCTTTAGTGCACATATGCAACAGAACCAACAGCTTAATATCCCATCGGAAGGATGAGGTAATTGATACAAAGTGTTTTGCGGGACAGAAGTACCTAGTACAGCATTGGGAGGTCTCACTGTCTGTAACGCAACACACTAAAATCGCTCACCACTGCGCTAACTCGCTATTGTCAATCAATGATAACAAAAGTTCTGTTGATTGTAACAATGGTGATAATGATATTAAAGATTTATATTTAAAATAAGTTTTTAATTATCCTATTTTACCTTTAATTTAGGTTGCTGATAAATTAATTAAAATATTTGCAGAGCAGATATTCCACACTGGGTTTGTTCATGCTGACCCACATCCTGGAAATGGTGGGTAAACCATAAAAGTTTTATTTTATTTAAATTTGCATTGACTACTATTTCTGCAGGAGTGTATATAGGGGAACTACTGTAAGCTATTAAAAGTACTGAACTAAGCCTAAATTTAGTTTTAATTAACCTAATAATAATAATATGTTCTTTTGAATAACCATAATGAGCTATTAATATGATAGTGGTGATTGCTGATGATGGTACTGATATTGATGACAATTTTGATAATGATTATGATAATGATGAGGATACTGATATCCCAATGAATTATGAAGATGTTGATGGATGGAGGTTACTGTAATGGGGTTAATCTTGATAATACTGATGATGATTTTGATAATTTTATAGATAAAGACTAGTTTGATGATATGGTGTTAAAGGTGGAAGTTCAATAAAATATATATATATATATTCTTTCTCATATATGTATATTCTTTCTCAATATTAGTGTTTGTAAGACAAAATAACAGAGGTAAAGCTGAGTTGGTGCTTCTTGACCATGGCCTGTATGAAGAACTCTCACCAAAGTAAGTGATTCATGTAATTATATTTCCATATATTTGTATTATTATTATTTGTATGTATTTTCACCTAAATAATAATAATAATCATCATATGGACATGTTGAACAGGATCCGAGTGGCATTTTGTAATTACTGGACCTCTATTATCATGAAGGATGTTGAGGGAATGAAACGGTATGCTGCAGATTTAGGAGTCAGAGGTAAGTTTCAGAAACATTGATAAAAAATTTTACACCAAATTTTGATAAATTTAGACTTATTCAAGTGTGCAGCCATATTGAAAGTGAATATACAGTATACAAATGCACCTTGGCGTCTTACATTATATATCATTCTTACTCTACCATTTCATAAAATGAAAAGCAATTCATAATTAACTATTTTCTATTTTTTATGATTTTCACAGAATATAAACTATTTGCTATGATGATAATGCAACGACCTTTGAACCTCCAAGCTAAGCGAGGCCTACACATGACCTTTATGATGACTCCAGATCAGTTCCGCAAGCTCGGCGCTGAGTTCCAACAGATGGGCGCCAAACGAGAGGACTTTATTGAGCGTGGTAACCAGTTGCTGCACAGTCTACCCAAGTCTTTGTACTTAGTGTTTCGTAACATGAACACAGTACGTGGGATTCATAGGACGCTAGGAATGCCGGCAAACTACATAACTCTGATGGCTAGATGGTGAGAAATACATGAATTAGGTTTCAATTTTCTTATTATTAATTTTATTATTATTCTATGATATTTTCTGGTAACAATTTTCCTGCTTCTTTTTTTTTAAATTTCAAGTGCCTTTAATAGAATGGATGCTATCACTATAAAAACATTTACATTTGTCATTTATTTTATAATGATACATTGCATGCTCACTGCTTTCTTCTCGTTAGCGCTATTGGTGGTACCGCACAAGATGCCGAACTTCGTGGCTTCAAGGACAACATGAGGGCTAGGTGGGACCGCTTTCTCTTTGATTTCACTCTTGCGTAAGTGGTAACTATTAAATGATTTGATAATAATGACAATTAACAAATATTAATACAGTGTTAAATATAGTAATGATATTGACTTATTTTTAATCCAATAAATTGAAGTTTTTTTAAAAAATTATATTTACTATTAGTATCTATTAATATTTGGATATTTTCTATTCAAATATTTGTTATTAAAATACATATTGTAATTAATCTTTTAGGTCTGATCGCTTCTTGCACTGGCTGCAAACATTCATCATGCAGTGGATGCTACGTCTCGGATTGTTTCAGAAGATCATGACATCACTCAAGGATTCTGATAAACCAATGGAACCAAACAAACAAATGTCTGGTCTGGCAGAGAGCTTCATGCCTGTATGAGAGTGTTATTTTGGGTTGTCTAGCCTAATATGGAGCTTCATGCCTGTAAAAAAATTCTTCTGGGTTGTACGGCCTAGCAAGGATCTTCATGCCTGTATGAAGAGTACTTCTGTGGCCTAGCAAGGAGCTTCATACCTGCATAAAGAGCTTGACTTCTGTGTTGTCTGGCCTAACAAAGAGTTATGTTCCAGCTCTTCTGGGTTGTTTAGCCGGGCAGAGAATCATGCCCATGTTAATAGAAATTCAGTCCAAGGGCCCTTTTAAACTTAGTTTTTGCACAAATGTACAAAAGAATAAACCCTAACATTTTTTGCAACCAGTTAATAATGTAAAACCGTAACTTTCATATTTTTTATAAAGCATTGCATTTTATATTTAAATGTGTACAGAATTAACATTACAGTAACTACCCTAGTGAAATGCGTGAACACTTCTGAATAGATGGATACCGTAAAAGAACTTGCGTCTTACTATCATACTTCTGGAAGACCCTAAGTACCATACAATAAAGTTAATTTTCAGTAGAAGGTGAAAAAAATCCATAATGAGGTGAATCAGGAGAATCTATTGTTTATGTAAGATTATAAATAGGCCTAGTTTTATAGAAAAATGTTTCTACATATTTTTTTTTTTGTGTAATTTATTTTTAGAAGTACATTTATACAATCATGTAGCTTAAAATAAAGCTGTTTACAATCATTATATCAGAAATTATAGCATGTGATGGTATTAAGAATAACATTGAAAATATTTATATAATTTCTATTTTGATTACTAAATTTAGGATTATATTTGATATACTGTATTTTAGAAAGGTGCAATACCAGTAATTTTACCAGTACAGATACCTATATTTGAAGGAATAACTCTTAATTATTATTATTTTAAAGTTAATGTAGTATATATATTATCCTTTAAAACCACTTATATTCTTAACATTGTATTCATAATACTGTTTTCAAGTACTGTACAAGAAACCTAATGGGTCAGTATCTACCAAAATACCTTTTTGCCATGAAAGAACACCTCTCTCAATGTAAATTTAAGGATTACAAATACTACCTCATTCCCTTTTCAGTTTGTCTTGTCTATTGAGTGAATAAACAAACGAACAATCAAATGCAGTATTTACATCTGTTTGCTTAGTTATTAGGTTTTTAATTTTTTGGCTTTTGAAGGATAAATTTTTTAAATAAATATAAAAACTGGGTTCAAGGAAAATCTGCAGACAATTGGTGAAGACCAAGGCAATACTATGAAGCACATAAAGGCTGTTTTAATAGATGCATTAACAGATTTTGATGTCAACAAATAATGAAACAGAATACAAATTATATGGTAAATAAAATATATTTATTTTATCGGTCTTTATGAGTCCACCGGACATCATGGTAAGACAATGATTTTCTTACTCAGCGACTGTTTGGGAAATAAGTACTCCCTCATAAATATATCCATCTCCTGTAATGCTAACTCTGCATGCAATTTCACGACATCATCACTTTCTGTTCTTAATGTTAGTTTTAAAGTACGGTACAAATTCAACAAACTGGATTCGAGAATCGTCAAAGCTTCTTTACCAAGGCCCCTTAAAATCAAGGTGACAACATTGACACATGCCCTCTTCACAATAACTTGGTTATCTGTCTGCAGGATTGACACTAAGCAGTTCAGCACCTGTAAATAAAAATATGCAAATTATGATAATGAATTTTAAGTATGTAATAATATTTTTAATAACAACTGAAATATTCAATGTGCTTCCCATGAACACAGGTGGCTGAAGAGCTAGCCAACAACTGTGCTGATGCACATTATCTTCTGTTTTTATGCTGTGCATGCTTGGGTTAAGTGCTATAGCTATCATAACAATAACTCTATAATACTAGTGCAGTCAAGGTACAATGTGATACACTAAATTCACAAAATAGAAAAATCATTATACATGTCTCCCTCCAATTAAAGACCACTTTCCTGTGGTCCTAAATTAACAAATGTCTTTTATTTTTGCTATTCTAATTAGAGACTAAAGCTGCTAAAGTCCATGGAAACCCCAGTAATATTAAACATCTAAAAAATCAAAATGCCTACTAAGATTTTTACCTCGTGAATTACTGAGCCCAAGGAGAACTTGAGTAGTTTGCAAACTTCTCCAAGGTTTGCCAAACTGCTGGCACAAACGTCTGGATCCGGATCCTTGGTGACTGTTAGGATGGCAGCAAGAAGTTCATGCCTAAAATGTGGCACTAGCTCACCTACAAAAATCACAATGAGAAATATATTTTGTTTTATCAAATATATAATGTATCAGTTACCTGTATTGCTCTTTCTCTGAAGCCAACTCCTGAGCAGATATATATTAATAAGTTTACCTAAGTTTCTGGTTGCCTTGACAAGAGATTCCCCAATCTTCATCCTCACTTCATTATCACTGGTAGTTTTCTTCTCCCAATTAGCATACTCTGTACACAGAGCTGGTATCACCTGATCAGGGAACACATCTGACATGGCTTCCAGACCTTGAATGGCAGCCAAATAGATGTATGTATCATCATCGGTCAACTTCTCTTTGAACGTCCGAAATAAAATGTCTTTCTTCTGCATAGACTTCGGGTCCTTTGCACGGAGAAGTTTGCCAAGAGCTATCAATGCATGACCTCTGACCGGTAGTAAAGGATCAAAGAGATCTTTAAATGCTTCATCAAATGATTCACTCACTAAGTCTGTATCAGATTCTGTTTGGCTTCCTCCTTCTGGAGTGACTTCTAATTTACTATAAGGATCATTTTTCTCCAAATTACCGCAACTTGCTTCTGCAACCATGCTACTAGCATCTTCCTTGTTGCCATTCCCTTCACATTTCGAACTGGAATCTTTTGTTTCTCCTTTAGGAAGTAGTTTTTTCTTAATCGATTGACCATCAGTGTCAGATGGCAAGTCTACTTTCAAAGCACCATGTGTGGCAATAGTGACTCGTATGCTAGATGACATCTCTTTCAAGTGCTTGTTGCGATGCTGGTCTCCTATGATGTTGAGCAACGGAAGGAGTGATGTCAACATCTTCTTTAGCTCTGTATTAACCTATAAACATAAACAATAAAATTTGATAATTGATCTGAAAATTAATAATTGACTTTTTAACATTTAGGCAGCTCTCTTACAAAAATTTATTTTGGGGCATAATTTAAGTAAACATGCAGGTTAAAATAAATTGGTTATAGTGCACACTTCTAAAAAAGCTACTTTCAATTAACATCATTACAAATCACATGGAAAGTTTGTGGTTCACAAATACCATCTAGAAGCATTCTTTATGGTGAAAAGGTTGGCAGATCAAAATGACCTGGCACCTATCACAAAGCCCTGTCCAGACTATCAAATTTTATTTGACAAAAATGTGACATGCCTAAATATGGTCATGATGACATCACATCATCTCCATATATAGGCACATCATGATTATATATGGCATAAAGCAGTTTTTTGATAATCTGGAGCTTAATAATAATATGTAAAACCATTGAGTAAACTTACATGTTTAATATCAGCCACAATGAGGGTGAGCAAGCCTAGAGCCATGCTAAGTGTCTCATCCTCAAACATAGTTGACTTATCTTGACATTCCTCATCTTCACCATCTCCAGCCATACTGTTACAGGCCCGCTGCAATGTTGCTTCTACAAACGCTATCATTTGTACTTTATTCTTCAGGATTGCTGGTCCCATCTCCTCACACATCTTAGCAACAAGGTTGAGGACAACTAAAGCATGCTGGATGCTGTGTAGCTTATCTGACTGGCTGATTTTTAATTGTAATAGTACTTTTGAGTCTGCACAGATTTCACTGGTATTCTTCTTGCTCTCTTCTGTGCTGCCATTTACTATGTTTGTTAATTCCTGATGTTGAAATAACAACAATAAATTTTTGGTATTGGTATTGGCTTTTATAATGTGCCTCTTCCTTGCGGTTATAAAGTGCAGTTCTTTTCCCTGGTCATTGGGTTCCACATGCTAATTGTTGCTGCTGGTAATCAGCGCAGGAGCAGGCAACCCCACCAGGTTCCCATTTATACTACTAGGTGAAGAGAAGCAATGCAGATAAAGTGTTCTGCTCAAGGACACAAGCGAAATGCACCACGAGGGATTAAAACCCCGACCTCGGGGTTGGGAAACCAAACCGTTCCCGCTGCGCCAAACCGCTTCCACAAGTTGGATGTATGTACATTATATCGATTGGTAAAGATAGGCAAAACACACATGCAGTAGTGGCTCAGTTTTTTTTTGTTGGGGGTAAGGAGGGAACACAAGTGACAATCGAGGACATGCTCTAAGTGTTTTTCAAACCAAAACCACAACAAGAACTTCCTCTATGCATAAAACTATTTTTATACGTCCAAGCTCTATACAAGCCTAGAACTTACCTTTAAGAGTGCAATGAAGAAATCTCCCATTAATTTATTCATCTTTGATTTGGCGATAATTTCGAATAACACTGTTGCTGCTACATCCTGTTCACCCAATACATCTACAGAAGCCGTCTCGGAAGACCTATAAATAAATCAAGAATTTATGAATAACTATGACATCATAACTGTCATTAAAATTATATTCTCTTAATGTTTTTATTTTCATCACAACCATCCACTGGCCTTTAGTCTATATTTCTTTTGCATAATTACACAGTACCTTTTATCTTCTGAAACCATCACTATGGCACCACCTCCTGACCCAGGTGAGAATACCAACCATGGAGACATTACTCCCAGCAAGGGGTCAGACTTGAGAAGAGTTAGATGCTTGAGAATTCTGATGGAAATCTCTGTGTCAGTCATCTTAAAATACCAATGCAGTATATCTTCCACAGGTGACCTGTCAATCACAAAAGATGCAGGTGAGAAAAAGAGATTATATTAAAATGAAAGTAGACAAAAATGGCACATTTTAGAAATTGATATCTTATTCAGAATATTCATATTTAGATTTGGATTATTTTTTTCCTTTGTTACGCACCTACATTAACCAATGACACCCCTTACCTCAAATGAGATATTCCATCTTTCAGAAATACACATAGATTAAAAAGAGGATGTATGATTGGTTGAATTGTCTGCAGGAGGTCCTGTGATGGTTCAGATCCTCCATTCACATAGACTTTATGAAGACTGTCAACACAGGTTGAGATTGAATCCTCAAGAATGAAGACACTTCCAGGTGTTGATTGTAAGATGCCATCTGTGCAAGATAATAAATATTAAGGATAAAACCACAACAGAGACACTGGGTATGACCTCCCAGCCACCTACAATGGTATGCTGTCATGTGACTGCCCAACCGAGAGTGGTCATGTGGCAAGTAAAAAGGCCTAATTAACCAGTTAGTTGAACAAGCTTGTCGTGAGGACAGAGAAAGCTACCACAGTTAATAATTACCTGCATCAATACACTTTAAGAGAGGATGCTGTAAGGGTTTGATGAGCAATTCTTGGCCTAAATCTTGATGCCTTGTGATAACATCACTGATGAAGCAGCAGGCAATTCTAAGAAACTTCTTCATTAGTAGGACATCTTTACAGGTGACAAGATCAAGAACCTGAAATATTGAGAGTTGCATGTTTCATTTTATTCAGTCACCCAGGAGAAATGGACCTTCCCAGAGTGTCAATCAAACTGACCAATCTACTACTACCGTACTTCTACTATGGTACAAACCTGTGGACAGATGTTTTGATAGTAGGTTGCTATGTGAATTTGCTTTGGACAATTCACAAGAAGCTTTGCAATCATTTCGCACTGTTTCCAGTTGTCAGCTGCACCACCTAAAAAACAAAAATTGAAAAAAAAATTCCAAAATGATAGCAATGTACAATTGTACTCAAAGGAAGGTTTTTGTGCAGTAAAAAGAGATGTCATTGTATGAATCTAATTATCTGACTATACTGCATACCTCCAGTACTGTCAAGTATTCCACAAAGAACATTGTGTACTCCATTAGGCTTCATCAACCTCTCTGACAACAATTTCCCACAGACTTTCCGTAGCCATACAGGAGCTGGTGGCAAAGGGTTCTTCGCTTTAGTCCTGTCTTTAACCCTCTTAGAAAGACCCCCTTGGAGTAAAAGTAGTTCACGAATGACCATCGGTTGATAGAGCTTATTTAAAAGGAGCTCCAACTCTTTCCTCCAAACATGGCGATCAACTGGTGGTGTTCCTGAAGACCCTACCAGATGATCATTTGGTGTATCGGAAGAACCTACAAGGTTTGATGCATTTTCAGCAGCTTCTAAATGATCTTCTGGATGTTTACTTGATCCTTTCTCTACTGACAGAGGATCCGGGAGCGTAATAGAGGAAGCACTTTCCTTGTTCAAATTGGCAGCATCTCCAACTGCTTTTGAGCTTTGTGGCTTGAAACTTAGTTGCACCAGAGCAGCTAGGAAGTCATTCAAATACTTTGAGAGAATAATACCTCCCAATGCTGCCAGATCGGTAGAATCCAGTAGCTTTCTCATGACTCTAGCAAGGTTCTGATTTTCAGACTCCAGAGATAAATCTGATGAGATGCTGGTCTTACTCAAGAGTACACTAAAATCTGATCTCATTGACAGTGGAATGCCAACACCTGCATCAAGATTTGGAGCAATTCCAAGGCAAACAATGAACTGAGTTAAAGTGGTGACAACTTTCTGATCATTGATGCTAAGCGTTGCTGGTGATAGAGGAGGTGCACAATCATGTGGCCGTTTATGTTTGAAATTCTCGTCTCTTTTATTTTCTTTTTTCTCTTCCACTTTTTGCAAAGACTGTTTCAGACATAGTAATAACTGCAAACATGTTTCTAAGTAGATAGCAGACCATTCTAATGACGTTTGCACTTCTTTGCACACTGGTAAATGCAGATGTAATTCAGACTCAGAATACTGTTCCTGTTTAATTCTGTCATGTAATCTTTTCAAATTTATCTGAAATACCATTGACAGCCCATCACTTTCTAAAAAATATAATAGAAAAATAATGTAATTATATAATTAGGCCTTTGCCTCAAGCCCATTCAAACTTTCTACATTAGGCTTAGGCTTACAACAGTTATCAACCGTCTCGCATTTCAAAGTGATTTTGGATGAAACATGCATTTTGTAGAAACACGTGCGTGATAACAAATTATCATGAAATCAGGGGAAAATGTATTTAAAATTAAAATTCTAAATTGGTTTTATTGAAATATAGTAACGGTCATGTAGTAGGTTAACTTGAGTCATTAGACTAGAGCTTTCGTTCTTGCTCGCGAATCAAATTCACTGAGAAAATTTCCCTTTCCTGTTTGTCAACAAACACTCACTTCCTGAAATTGTTTTAAAACAGCTTAAAATGCTCATCGTTGGAGCTCCAGCACCCAGACCCCCACCGGGGCTCTACGCGCCCCGGTGGGGTTTTTGTCTTCATATTTTGTCTTCATATATTGGGGTTAAGTTTTGTCTTCATATTTTGTAGTCACATCAAATCAAATATTGCCTAGCCCCTTACTCTGTACTCATCATGCCTTCAGACTGGCCTCTCTGCCTTCTTTACTAACTAGGCCCATGCCCTAGCGCCAGGCTAGGCCCTACTGCAACTTACTGTGGTGAGTGAGAGGGACTGGCTAGCTAGCTAGCTAAGGAAGCTAGGGCTTAAGCCTAGTCTTTCTAAGCTAGCCTAGATCAATACGTTATATCTATTTATTCAGATTATTTAGGGCACAGAACCCAAACAAACCATAAATCAATATCTTGGTAATGTAATCTTACTTTCACTTTGTGATTGCTGCTGGACAGGTGAAATGAGCAATTCCATTGCCTCTAACACATCGCGACTACTGTAAGTCGCCATATTGAATTCAATTTTTGAATACCGCCCCTATAGTTTACTAACTTTACACAAGCCAGAGAGCTATAATGTCATACATAGAATTTGAAATACAGTATAATAAGAATTTATTTATTTTCAGTATACTTCAAACATTCCTGATGATGACATAATTAATGTCGAAATTTGCTGTTGAATTGATTCAACAGCATAATGAAAACAATGCAATTTTGTGACTGGAAATACGTTTTCTTAAAAAAAAACAATAAAATTAAACCAGTTTTTATACAATATTTACAATATTCTTGCCAAATAAATACAGTCCCTCCCTCATCGATAAAAATATTCTGTTTTTCCGATTACAAAAAAAAAAAAAAAAAACTGCCCGCCCTCATCACTTTTTTTTTTTAAAGAGTGATAATTCATTGATTTGTTCTTTGTGCCCTAAATCCCTGTCCAGACTATCATATTTGACAAAAGATATGACATGCCTATATATGGTCATGATGACATCACATCATGACTATATATGGGCATAAAAAAGTTTTTATTCAAAGAAAATTTGATAGTCTGGACAGAGCATAAGTCACAAGGTCAAGTTCAGTTGTTTTAGTCACAGTGGTTTTAAGCCCTGAACCATGACCATATAGTGAAAACGTTAAACACTAGGCTCTAGGAGTGTTTGAGAAAACTTTGTTCATTTGGGGTTAAGCAGGATATTTGTAGAATGTCCTACTCATCAGAGATGATGTCTATTTGGGGGTATCTATGTTTGGGTTGGGTGGGAACTATCTGTATGTGGCACAAAGACCGAATTGAGAGGGTGCTGGGTAGGGCGGGGAAAGTAATTGTTACGTGTGTGCAGACACTTGACTCATTCTACCATGAACGGCGTGCAGAGGTGTTTCAGGTTATAATGGAACACACAGACATTATAGGCACCGTTATAGAAGTGGTAGAATGAGGATGGTGAATACGCACAGACTGTAGCAAGTACTCATCCTACTCAGCTGGGATACGATATCATAATCTAAAAATGTTCAGATCATTAATGTGTATTAGCAGTCAGGAGCATTGGTATTTTCCAGTTTTTTGGACAATAAAGAAATCTGTATCATTTGAAAACATAATTATACCGTGATTGTGCTGTACATTATATGCAACAGGTGGCCAGACAGCTACTTTAAAGTACAGCAACATGAACACACAGTATGTCTGGCAGATGGCTTCGCAAATTTAGCATATGAACTGATGAACCAAATGAATAAACACAATAGAGCTGATGTATACATTAATTCACATCTGTTTACACAGTACCGCATTCAGTTGAGACTGGCAAAATGCCAACTCTGGTTGCAATGGGTATGACAATAAAAAGGTATATATCCTAACATGTTTATACCAGACACCATTTGAGAGCCAAGTCAAATTCAAGAGTGAGACCGTAAGCATTTATGAGAAGATATATTTTATTGACCTGAACACAAATAATGGTGGACATGAAATTTTATTTTCTTGGTGTTTACAATCATATACAATAAACATTAAACAATTAAAATTATTATGAATCCTTCATACAATATCATTTTAACTGTCATTTTTGTTTTTATTAAGTCACAATATGGGTACAGTAGTGAGCAAAACATTTTGACAATGTCGGAATTAACCTGAGTTATTTTGAGTGTATTCCATTAATTTCATATTTGGTTTAGCACATCAAACTTGTTAAAACGTAATGATATATACATTTTCACGTATAATTCTCTCCATCGTCAGGATTTGGTGAAATTATTATTATGCATATTGCTCCTTTTTGGTAATCAGTGCAGGAGCAGGCAACCCCACCAGGTACCCATTTATACTCCTGGATAGAGAGAAGCAATGCAGATAAAGCGCCTTGCCCAAGGACACAAACGTAACTCCGACCTTAAGATTAGGAGAACAAACCGTTCCTGTGGCGCCAAACCTCTTCTACAATAGCAGTAACCTTCATCATATTCATTCATCAAGACTAATTTACCATGTTGTACAGTAAAACAAAAATAGGAAATCATAATGGCATTGAAGAAAGTCAATTTCCCAAAGCGCTGTCCAGAATATCACATTTTATGTGAGAAAATTCTGGTTGCCCATATATGGACATGATGATCATGTCATATGTCACTCATATATGGGTGTCATATGATGCCATGACACCCATATATGGGCAAAATTACAGGATGGACAGAACTTCTGGTATTTTGTTGATTTGTCCAACTACTGTTTATTAATATTACTTTATATTTATTACAGTATAGAACTCTGACTACAGTTATTACATTAGTATTACAGTTACTGTTGGTCTATCTTTTACAGTACTACAGTACTTCCATTTAAGTTCATCACAATAATTTTATCCAGCATTTTCTGGAAATCTTTTTCTAATTTAATATTTAAACAATTATGAATAATTAATTGAAAAATTGATCAAAAACCAAAAAAGCTGCAAAAGCCAAAAAGATGACTGTTTTTCCCCAAAATTCAAAATTCAGTTTCAACATTTATAATCATTAATGACCCATGCATTTAAGCCTCAATTGGCAGAGGCTATACATTCTTATTTTTTTTTTTATTATTGTGTAATCCACTAGTGAAATCAGTTATGCATCACTTAAAGTGCTATCACACTAAACATGAAAATAAAATAATACAGTAAAATAATCTCACAATACATAATGAAAGGAAAAATATATATTATGTATTATTTTAGGTTTAAAATTTTACAATTAATTAAGTTTATTGAGCAGTCACAAAAAACAATATCAGGGCATTTAAGCAACCCTTTGGTGAGTTGAGTGGCTGAGCGGTAAGGCTTGGCGCCGCTAGCTACAGCCTTAACATCTTGCCCAGGAGTCAGTTGGTAGAACCAAGTCTTCTTGGATAAGGACTTAAAATGGAGGTCCAGTGCATACATCTGGTTCGTGTGCACTTAAAGAGCCCATTGCATCTTTCGGAAGTGACCACACCCATTTATGTTCTCGTCGGAGATATCCTGATGAATCCACTAAACAAATTTACAAGCAACAAATGAAAGATATTATGGCCTTGTTTTTTTTTTATTAAAGTATTTTTACTGTTCAAGGACCTAATTGGTCAAATATAGTTTATACAGATGACTCAGTGAGAATATATTGGATATAAATTCGCAAACTCTGTTGCCACGTATGTAGCACGACTATTAGCACATCTTGAAATTTAGTCTTTGTATTGGTTGAGGAAATTTGTGTGGAACGCGGTGAATCTCTCCATAACCTCAGCGATCTTGGCAACAGGAGGAAGTATCGTCGTTCTGGTGGTAGAAAAAAATGTTGAAAAATATGATTAATGTATTTGTGCAGCATAAATTAAAGTCTGTAAAACTAGCACCTTGCATACGGAAGATAAACATTCATCATTATAATATATTATCATTACGTAGTCATGATAACTTTTATCGTCATCATCGACATCATATACTATATATTATCATTGTCAATGCTGTCACAGTTGTCCTCATCGTCATCAATATCATGTGACCTTACCTAAAATGGAATGTTCCTTCCACTTGTCCGAAGCCACTACCGGGGACAACGCATATACCGGCATCTTCCAGAAGACACTCGGCATAGAATGCATCCGGTTGTTTTCCCAATTTCTGTACCGTAACAAACGCAAAAGTGTTCAATTGGCAAGGGGTTTGCACAGATAAAATAGTATCATTAAAATAATTGAATTATGCACTGAATATGGTACATGAAATCATTTTATTTTTTTCACATCTAAATACAAACTAAACCAAAATAAAGGAGAAATGGAAATGCATAGAACAGTATCTGGAACTCAGAAAATGCAAGGTATAAAAAAAAGTAAAATCAAGCAAAGATTATCTGTGTTCATGACCTTAAATCATATCTTCTCATATACTTTAATGAATGTGTTGTAGATTCAAAATAATTATTTCAGGAGTACAGCTAACAAGTTATTACTTCCAAATGCAAAAAAAACCCCCTTGAACTATAAATTGAAATTTACAATATTAATCATCATCCAATAAAAATTACAATTATCAACATCCTGAACACAACTATCACAAGACTCCTTCCTGGTGCTAAATCTTTCCAAATCATTACATAATCTATACTTGATATTACTTCATGTGCTCTATGATAGCAATGCGACTAACCTTGGCCTGTTCAATAGCCCTCTGTGGTAACATGACCTGGGGGAATGCATACATCGCCCCCTGCACTGTGTTGCAACTGATACCATCCAGAGCGTTGAAGCTATCAGCAATCAACTTAGCTTTCTGCGCCAAGTTCGAGAGAACTTCTTTCTTCTCCTACGTATCAAATTAAATAAGTAAAACAGATATCAATTACATTATTTTGATGAATAAAATAAAATTATTTAGAAATAATGTTTTAAATGTTTAAATTTTGTATTGCAACTTAACCACAGATGAACAATTATACATAAACCTATGCAGATCTTTAAAAAATGAGCAAACCTCATTTTCATATGTTAAATGTTAAAAATATAAACAAAATCAAAATTTAGTTTTAAAATTATACACACAGTATAGATAGACTAAATTCCACATTAGATGTACTGTAATTAATTTGGATGCAAATTAGCCCAAAATATCCTTTATGAATAGATCATAGGACGGCTAAATTCCACATTAGATGTATCATAATTATTTTGGATGCAAATTAGCCCAAACTAACCTTTATGAATAGATCATAGGATGGTTCCCCTTCAACTGGAGGGTTCACAACACAGTCCATCGCTGCCTACAGAAAGGTACACAAAGCAGGTAATTACGTCTATAGCATTAAAGATACACTGTAAAAATACTTTGAAAAACTTTTTTTTAAAGTAAATACAATCATTGAATTTCTGATTTAAAATAATCATATTGAGTTTAAAAAATCATGTAGGCAGTCTATATCTGGATACACTAGCACCTTCCAACAAGACACAGATTGAAATAATTCAGTATTCAATGATTTACAAACTTTTTTTCACTATGAAAATTGTTTATTTGCCAATTTATGTATATAAGGCTTGCCATTCCAAAACCAGCGGTACTGTCCCTAAATGTTAAACTGAATAATTAGCATAAGAAAGTGACAATATTATACACTTTAGTACAGAGATGCCGTAATACTTCTACTCATTAACTTTGGCAATAGTAAGTCAATTTCAGTAAATGAGCCATCATTTTAAAGCTTATAATGTGGCGATTAAGAATTTATTAAAAGCCAATTTTTATTTTTAGGTTACTGATACTGGTTTTGTGATAGCAAGCCTCATATATGCAATCAATATTAAATGCAAGTAAAATATTTTCTTGTTAAAATATTCAAGTGAATGGTAATAATCTTTTCTTTTATATCATACTGAATGAATTGTTCATGTTCTTTATGTTTTTCTACTGCTTACCTGCCCAGTAACCGTGGGGCAGAGTTTGGCCGATATTAACTTGGACAATTGTAAGTTGACGTCAGGGTCAAGGTTAATGGCCTCGCAGTACCCTCCTCTCAGACCACATCTAACAAAATTATTTTAATCAAATTTATACAAATAATAACATAATAATTAAAAGTCAAAATAACTACACCATCACCAATAACATTATTAAAGATTATTATTATTAATATAAAGTTGATAAAGTTTGAAAGCTTGCACTTTTAAATATGTAGTTTTGTGAATGACAGTGTAATTTTTCGGGTTTTCTAAAGTGTCAAGTGGGATAAATTTAACCCTAGTACACAATATATTATAATATTCAATAACAATATATAACTATTTCAATTTTATTTTTATGGTATTTACCATTGACCTTGGTTTATTTATCAATGAAACAGTTCTACAATAACTACTTTTAAGAAAATTAATAGCAATAGCAGGTGTAAAATTTAGTATAATATTAAGAAAGTTTTATGGTTAAATATACTTAAATCCAAAGCTGTTGTAGGTAATATACTCTCCACAAATGCTTTTATACATATAATTTCAGTTATCCAAAATACCATGCTTAAAAGACAATAAATAATTTGTTTTAATGTATTATTACAAATTATCATCATAGCAATTTACTAGGTGTTAAATTTAAGTTTAATAAAATTTAGTACGAATGCAGTAATGGTTTAGTAACAAGTTAATAATGGTTAAATTTAATAAAAAAAACAAAGCTGTTGTAGGTAACATACTCTCCCACATATCCTTTAGACGTTGAGTGGAATGATGCAAGCTCCATGTGAGCATAGTCTGGGCCTAGCTCCGTAAGGACCTTCTTAAATGAGTGGTACTCACACCCTTTGGCATACACATTATCCTGGTAGACCTGGGGAGATGGTAAAAACATGTGATCATTTCTAACCAATCAGTGATGTTCATCAAAAAGATACTAGTAATTTACGTATATTTTGGAAAACAAATACTTTACTTTGAAATACTGTATACAAATAGATTTATTATGATATTATAGTCATCATCAGCTCATTCATTAACATCTGATTTTACAATAATCACATTTTTAGTAAGAAAGTACTACTCAAGAGATTCATTCTCAAATTAATGGCATAAGAGTTCCCATGACTCCATTTAGGATGCAACTTTTCAGAACCCTTCAACAAATTTCAAAACATTGAATGGTTAATAAATTTCAGTGCCATTAAAAAATTGTAACTACAGACAAATGAAATTACCTACTTAAACCATTCGACAAGTTAAAAACAACAAAATAAAGTATATTTCATCAGCCCATTTTATTTGTTTTCCCCAAGTTTCAAAATTATCTTAGTTGGCCTGGCCATGAGCTACTCCAAAGTAAGTGTACACAAGCCTGGTATCGAATAGTAGGCCTGTAATAATTTAGTGGTTGCTTTAGTAACATTTACATGAAACTATTGCTCCATACCTCATCTGCTATTATGAATAATTTTTCTTGAGCTGCAAACTTGATTATATTCTCAATATTCTCCCTACTTAACACTTGACCTGTGGACAAACGTAATTGTTATTATAATCTGCAAATTACAGTGTTCACAGAATTGCAGGTAGGGGTTATAGGAATGGAGTTGAATAGCTTTGTAATTAAGATGCTTGCTTTCCAATCCCAGCATCCTGGGTCCAATTCACGGCAACAGGATTTTTTCTCACGACCAAAACAACTCCAGTCCCTAAGCCTTGTATGAAACTTGGTCTATGTAAAGTATTATGTGTTTATCCGTGCCATGTAAAGGGATTGCCACCTATCTAATAGAAGAGGGATTAAGTCGATATTGATAATCCTTGGCCATGTGCCTAAAGGAATAAGATAAATAAATAAAATAAATTATAGCCAAAACTTCCTTGATAATGTATGAACTAGAAATCTATCTATTGTTTTGGTGCTTAGAGATTGTAAACAGACCTTGTTAGAGGCCTCGCTGTGCAAATGTAATTTGTTTAGATTAATGTGTATTTTTAATGTTTTTTAATATTCTTCCATATTGCATGATTGTCTTTTTGTTAAGGTAATACATTGTCAGGCCTCGCCTTTGTTGTATTTCCTCCATCTATATTTGTTGTTTTTTATTCATGATGGAAAATAAAGATTGATTGATTGAAGTCACTTGTGCCTTTTGCAAAACTCTTTACCTATTACCATCTTTCTACCAAGGGGTATAAAGAAAGAATAAATAAATAAAACAATAAGTGGGTACTGTACTTGGTACAGACTTGCTGTGCAGAGGAGTAGTAATGCCACCATAGGGGTGCAGAGTGTGGCCCAACTGCCAAAAACATGAGATATGGGCTCTCAGTTTTTGACTTTACCATTATCATATTCTACATAATCAACTTTAGGAAAGCTAATAATGGCTAGTTGCTCCTACACCACCACCACCACCATCCCCACTCCCTTAAATAGAGACATGGCAAATAAATAACGCTTAGACACTAACTAACGCTTACAACATTGTTTGAATTAGGAAACATCATCTCTACCTGTTGGGTTTCCTGGATTTATGACTACAATACACTTTGGATTGCAATGTTTCCTGGCTTCGTCGATTGACCTCTTCAGTTCAGGAACCTCCAAACTCCAACAGTTCTCTTCGTTTAGATAATAATTCACCTATGTGAAAAAAAACAATCATATAGTCAGAATGAAAGACAAAGTGAAAGTTCTTAATCAGCAGACAATACTCTCTCTATCCAATATGTCATAGGTAATGATGTGGAAAATGGGTAACATAACCTTACAGCCTGAGGTGGGTCATTATTTTCATGAGTATAAATTATTCACAAACATCATTTTATGGTGCACTATTTCTAGAGAATAGAGGTACCCACATGATAGAAAATGATTTGTATGCTCATACAAAACATAGATGACCACTTAAAAGGAAAATAATTATTTGGTATAAATCATAAATATTGATAACGGCTGCTATAGTTTAGAAAAAAAAAGATCTGATAGAATTTTTTCTTGTCATTCATACACTCGTCTTCTCACCTTTCCCGGATCATTGGTAACTCACCTGGACTGCGTCTAACTCTGCTACCGTTGCTGAATACAAGGGGTATTGTGGGATTGGAATCATTACACCTGTCCTAGTCTTCCCTTCACCAGACACTAACAGCTTCAAGACACACTGTTGTAAAGATAATTAAAACTATGTGATTATGAAGAACCAATAAGATTCAAGATGAAAAGGAATAATTTCTTAGGTATAAGGCCACCACTTGAACAAAAAAAATAAAAATGGTATCTGGCCATCTAATAGGCATAATGTCTATTTGATGTTTGTGTCTTCCTACCATATTTTACTATGTACTTTTTCTTAATTTATAGTAATCACTATTTCTCATGGAAATGTTTAGTACTATAGGAGATTATCATGGCTTCAGGGCAAAGGAAATAAAAGAGAGATAAAGAGCTTGTGTCAAGTCTTGAAACAACGAAAATCTGTGACAGAGGACTACTCTGTACAGATGGGTTGATGACCCCAACCAGAAGACATCGTACTCCTAAATACTGCAGTTCCCTTTATGTGGCCTCTTACTGAATATTGATATTGTTTTGTGTTAAAGGAGCATTCAGATGATATGCAACATTCTTACCCTGATTCCCTCACTAGCACCAGCTGATAGTAGGATGTTTTTAGGATTACTAGGAATGCCACCATCTCTCTTCTCGATGTATGCCGCGGCATCCTTCCTGACAACTTCTAAGCCTGCACTCTCACTGTAAGAACCTGAAAAGTCAATCAAAGTATTTAAAGAACAATTATGGCGTGCACTATTCGGGAGATATTTCTACATGTACAGTTGTACTGAAACTCACAGAGGTTGAATTTCCAACGATATACTTCAAATTATGTATGAAGCAACCCCTCAACATGGTCACACATAAATTATGTTTTATAGAGGGCGTATTTTATACTGTAGATATCTGGCAGTGTAGTCGTCATGTGCGATATTATTGTTATATTAAAATCATGACATCCGATAGATAAAAGATTTAAAGGGACTCAATTCTACTGGCAGTTGAAAGGCCACAATGCATTTATGGTCAAGTGTTATGACGTTCACCATGTATGCAAAAGGTCCCGGGTCCGAGTCCCTGTGGAGGTTTAGTTTTTTTTTCTTACCTTGTCAGATTCCTCTTATGTTACGTTTCAATTTAAATGTGTATCTACACCTATAAGGCAGTTATGAGATCAACATATTATTATCCCCATTGGAATTTGAACCCAAGGCAATCCAATAACCGGTTAATACTGCATTGAATGAGGCCAAGTTTAGTTAGTACAGTACAGATCAGCCAGTAAATTTGATAATAATAGTACCAGCAAATATTCTACATAGAAAAATGTATGATACAGGGTTATGGCACTACATGACTCTCAACCTTAAACTTGATAGAGGACTCCCCAAGGTAAACACCAAAAGCCCAATAATGAATATAACATATTCCTCTGGTATAGCCCACACCCTACTTTATGGCCAGCCTTTCCTAGGTAAAAAGCCCAGGGTATAATTTGAATGAGTACTGTAGATTAGCAGACTTTTAAAAATACTCTACAAAAATATCAAATACTGACTCTGAATTAGGCTTGCAGTGATAAAAATTGCCACTTGATTGAAAAGGGGTTAACCTCTGTATAACTTCACCCCACAAAATCGGCCCAATTTGGTGTTCAAGGGGGAGTGGGGCTTAACCAGAGGAATTACAGTACTTTAAAAGTAAATTTATATACTTCATTGTATTGCATTGGAAAGAAATGTTCTACATTTTTAAAAAGTAAATAAATAACACGTTATAGGCCTACAGTATGTTTATGTTTAATAACATCTGCAGTCTGAACTAACATATTGATTATTGTGTAGTAGAAATACTGTACAGGAAGTATTTCTGGTACAGTAAAAATAATTTAACCTTTGGTACGCAAGAAAGACAATGACAGAAAAATAAAGAACCAACACTTTGGCAACAAAGCTCCGTTCAGGCTAGCTACATTACTAGTGTACTACCATACTGCATGAATATTCCCAGTGAATTGGACAAATGTAGACAGGTCTTAAAATTAGAGAAAAGAGGATTAGCTAAAAAGAATGGTTAGACAATTTTCTAAAAACTAATAACCACAAATTTGTATAAATCTTAACAAAAACCAAACTGAAACAGTGATCAGTCTGATGGGCTTAACTGTGATTGTCAATGAATGAGACTGTCACTTAACTACTCTTATCAAAATTAAACTTTATAATCCAAGTTTTTAGGTCAACCAATAATGGGATGCTTATACTTTAGTTGCTATTTTCAGTGAACTCGGGTACAATAATGCACAACAATCATGAAACTTTAATAGTAAAAAGCTAAATGTAAATTTGCATACCATATAGTTTACTTAGTATAATTTTAGCCTGACGCATCATTTTCAATATTACAATAGATAAGATAAAATAAACTTTATTGTCATAGTCACAAGGCGACATGAAAAAGGGCCTGATCGTAATGGTGTGATCCCATGGCTTTGTTTGGCATGTTTTCATCACAGCGCAGGTTCCAACAATCCGGAACTTGACAGTAGAAAATGGAGGCTATAGGTTGAACTTTTGCAATTTGCACTAAGCTTAGACATAGGCCTACTGTATAGTCTGTCATAACAAAAAAAAATAATAAAAATATAAATCATGCATAAATTGGTATTACATTTAATTGCTTATAAAATTTTAATATTCTACAATTTTTAATCATCATTATGAATTTTTAATTTTATTGCAAAAAAATTAGGGAAAACAAAAAATCCATTTATGTAATTATTTATTTAACTGTTATTCACTGTTTCAAGTTTGAATTTTAAATAATTGTAAATATGAAATATTGAATTTTTTTGTCCAGTGTTTTTCTTGTATTTGCTTGTTTTCATGAGGAAGCCTATGTACAGTATATTTTCAAAATGATTACATAGTTGTTTTTTGAAGAGGGCCTCTTTAAGTCAGCACTGACATTAGGGTCACCCTCATTAAACAAAAAATAAATAAAGTAAAGGATCAAACAATTGACAACTTTTTAAGAAAAGAATCCTTTATTCGCAGTGGAGATGTATCTTAGTATGGTGGTGCAAATGCTTGCTTTCCAATCTCAAGAACCTGCTTTGAATCCTATTTACTATACACCAACTTAAAACCACCAGGATTTTTTCTCATTAACTGAACAAATTTTCAATACCCTAAGACCTTGTAATGAATCTATGGAACACAATATAAAGGAATAACATTATGTTATGCACACTTAATATATTTTATCAGACAGAATATCTTTAGGGTCAAAAGTTTGAATCCTACATGTCCCATTAATTTGTCACGAGAAAAGTCTCTGTATCTACATTTGTATCCATGGGTACCTGCTAGCACAAACATGTTCTATGTTAGTAAATTGATATGACCTATGACCATGCTCTAATGTATGTGTTATGTGTATGTACTGTCATAAGAATGTCCCATAGGAATCGTATTGTGGTAGGAGTGTGCATAATGGATCATCATACAGAAACTGGAAGCATAAAATATATCATAGATGTATAAAATTGTACATGAAATTAATAGATCTGATCTATGGTGATCATTTATGTGTGACTTACTCCATAGGGATTAGAGGAAGTTCCACATTGTGATAATGTATTATGCATCCAGGAAGAAAGCTTATGGTCAGACAGGAACAGATCATAATGCATACAGTAATCTATAAGCAAAACTGTTTCATATAATATTATGTGTGATAATTAGCAGTTTTCTTGTGTCTGGTGTAGTAAGTTAGAAGTGATTTCAGATTTTTACTGTAAACTGCTATCATAATGCTTTTAAAACATATTTTTATTTGATATGTTTAGTAAATGATCTAGCATGTACTATTTTTTTACTTATGGCTACATTTTAAAGAACAACTGATTGGTGATAAAACATCAATAATGATGAAATTTTATTTGATTATTATGAAGAAACCCTCCACTATATTAAAACTAAAATATATTCCCAATGAAATTGGAATTCAAGAATTTTTATGTAACACGAGTAACCAATGTACTGTAGTTAATGAAACATAGTGTCTGTGAGTCTCGCTAAATAATGAACACAAGTGTGTAACAAGAGTGACCATGTTACTTTTGAGGAATAACATGTACAGTACCATTTACAATTGGCAATAATGCAATTACTAAAAATAGAGGGCAGTATAACCAAAAGAACCTACTGTACCCATCATGCAATTGTATTTCCTCTTGAAAACTGAAAACCTACAGTAAGTACAACAATACTGTACATTATTGTAATAAACTTGCAGTATTGAGTCCTATTACAGTCATTTCAAAAGGGGGTGAATATTATTTCTTCATGAATCAGTGAGCAAATAATATATTATAATTTTGGCAGAACCTACTGTACTGTAACCGCAGGCGAAGGGAAAGCATTTTGATGACTGTAGACCTAAAGCCTTGTCCAGACTTAACAAATTTTATTTTAGAAAAACATGTGAAATGCCTAAATATGGTCATGACATCATATCATGACCATATTATATATGCACATCATGACTATATATGGGCATACAGCAGTTTTTTTTATCAAAGAAAATTTGATAATCAGAGCTTTAGATTGCATTTCAGCTAACATATTGTGTTATTTGGTAGATAAACCACTTCGGTTTTATTTATTTAACAACGCATATGGAAGGAATTATTACTTAATGGTTGAAGGACTTGCCTTCCCTTCTATAGGTCATGGTTCAAATCTTAACAGAAACAGAAAAAAATTAATTTATCCATTTCACTAAAGTTACTAAGAAATAATATAATATACATACAGTATTAACATTCCAGATCATTTAGGCTATTTAAACACATTTGTGTTTTATAGGGTAAAATGCCACTGACAAATGCAGAGAAACAGCAAACCTACAGAGAAAAACTAAAGGCTACGGGACAATACGAGGATTATAAAGAAAAGCATCGACAAGTAGTGCGCCGATCCCGGGCAAAGAAGAAGGAACGGGAACAAAATCTCCCGAAATCCGTACAAAGCCACATCCAAAAGGAGAGAAGAGAATCTACGAGAAAGCGTGTTGCCGCATGGAGGAAATCAAAGAAGGAGCAGACTGCGAGAATACGTAGATCATCGTTTAAGAGTGCTCGGGCATTTGCTAAAGCATTATGTAAACCAAAACGTAGAGTGCCTCGAAATCTAAACAAGAACGATAAATCATAGCGACTTTAATCATTTTCAGGCACGGTCTCAAATAGTACAACATTGTATCATAGAGCTGGCAAAAGAACAGTTACCGGTAGTTGAAAGGGGCTAATAGCTATGCTAAATATTATGCGAACAGTACATATTAGGGATGGTCTCAAATTTCTACGCTATACTTAAATGTGGACAAAGCAGAATTTTTTGATAAGCATTTCTTTACAACACTAAAATATAATACAATTATGAGATGAGGAGCTACTTAAGATTGTTTACATTGTGCTCACATTATGCTCATATGACAAACATAACGATGATAGAAGAATTTGGACTAAAAAAAAAAACTGAATATATGGAATTATGTCTTTAATGAAATGTGTATGCAACTTCAAATGCAGCAGATAATTTAGATTTCGCTCACTAATTCAGAGTAAACGAAGAGATTGCTTGAACGGTTTTCAATGTATTACCATTCACCAGGTATTTTAAAGTCAACACACATCTGGTTAATTCCTGGCAGTAATTATGAAGGTTATATTAATGGATTATCATAAAGCTCTTCATCATCAGATGTCATGTGTTTTTTATGGTACCATTTTGTGCCAATACAGACAGAACACACAGATTCAGGAATTCATTCATACTACAGTACTCTCAATCAGATTGTACAACGGACATATTTAATGTTATGTTTATACAGTAAAATTGGCCTAATTGATTTAATCTGATGTTAGTAGTTTTACATATTAACTGAAATCTTTTATTCTTTTAGTAATTTTAAAATTTTAACTAGAATATATATTCAACATTTTAATATTTTATAAATTACTATCTTGATGGAGTGTAATGTTTTATTTGTACCTTGTTACTATCTGTTTCTGTCTGTTTTAAGTATTTCACTAGCCATTTACATTTTATGGAACAAATGTATTTTATAAAATTTTAAACACCCGAAAATGTATTCACTGCTATTTCCATATTGGAGTGGAGGAATAATATACATTTAAACTCTTTTCTACATCAGTTCACAGATTTAATCCAAATAAATATTTAAAGTAAAATTTGTCTACTGTTTGTCACAAATGTTGTACAAAAATCACCTTTTATATTTATTGTTTAATTCACTTAAAGTGTGCTACAACAATGCATTGCGGTTATTGTTGAACAAACCCAGATCATGCAGTGCTAGTGAAATGTTTGTTTCCAACTCTCTTCCCAGTTTTGGCAAATTCATTAGAAAATCCGTCTATGGTTTTATTGAGAGGGTAGGAAATTGTGAAAATACATTAGTAAAGTGCATATAATGATCACGTTCTCAAGGACAGCAGTTTATGTAAAATAGATGTTACTACTGCATACATAAACGCAAGTTTGAATTGTACTTGGTGTTTTTCAGTATATTTTTCGTTTACTTTATATTTTTAGTATTGTACTCTATGAACTAATTTTCGAAATAAAGAGAATGAATGAATGAATGAATATTACAAAATGCTATCACCTACATTGATAATCAATACTAAATTCATTATAGATTGGTAACTGTCGGGATACAGTACATGCCACTGTTTATGAAGTTCTATCTGTCTGATAATTTAAACTATTTTAGATCCTTCTAAATTTGTATAGAAATTTTATAATACTTTTTTACGTACAGTACAATATAGAAGGGAGGTACTGTACTTTAAGAAAAAGAAATAAGCGAATAAAATTAATTAAAAAAACAGACACCTTTTAAATTTCCTGAAGGTTTGTTTTAGAATGGCAAATTGGTAAATTTTCTGACCTGAATTTTGTAACCTTGCAGGAGATGAAATATTTAAAATTTACTGATCCATGACACACATAAACAATATGGTACATTCAAGATTTTAAAATGGTATCAGAAACAATAGGCAACAGCTATTGTCTTCAACTCTAACTGGTGGAAAAGGAGAATACTACTATTTTCGGTATCTGCCTGACATCCGATTTCACAGTAGTAAAAGATTGAAACCAGTCGATGGAAGAATGTGTTATAGGTTAATCGCTTGCCACAATAACAATTTTTAAAATAATAATACTTAATACTAAGTGGAGCTGTAGATTGGTAGTATTATAAGATGTAAATCCTTGCCGAGGCACTACGACCCATAGAGGCTGAAGCTTATCCCCAGTTTCTGTAGTGTGAAGCAGGTGAGAGTGTGATGCACCCCCTGGGTGGGCCGCTAATCTACCACTGGTTACACCTAGCAGTTTGCTGGTACCCATTGATACAGCTGGGTGTCTGAACCAATGTAGATAATGTGCCTTGCTCAAGGACACAAGCGAAATGCACATCAAACGATAGAAACCCTGACTTTTCTTTATTCTTTATTCAAACTTTATTTATAGATGGTAATCCTTCCAACTGGACCAGGAAGGCCAGCTGATGTTCAGAGGCCCTCTATTAAATATAAAACACATCATAAAAGATGTTAGAATCATAATTATAAAATACAAAAGGTACAAAAATACAAAAAAAAAGCACAAATGCATAAATATATAGGAAAAATATAGGAAAAAAAAATAAATGAAAAATAATAATAATAATAATAATAATAATAATAATAAATCAATTAATAAATAAATAAAATTTGATAAATAGATAAAAATGTAAATAAATCTATGTGACCTCAAAGTTGGGAAACCAAATCATTCCCACTGCGCCAAACTGCATCCACCACTATTAGATCTTAGAATCCTGTGCTCAAAACCTATCAGACACGAGTATTTTCGTTGATGAATAAAAAAACAACTCTACTCCATATAGCCAATGAATTTGGTTTTTAGAGAGTTCTATCCTGCAACTGGTGATTGAAAGGAGGAAAGAAGAATATCAGTAAAAAAAATTTAAACAATTTATTATAAAAAAATAACTAAGAATATAATATTTTATAGATGCTGGTTGCACTGAAGTTTTCATTGAATTTATTTCCATTTACTGTCATTTGCATCATAAAAATACCTAGAAATTGATTCATGCTCTGAGACACAATTTCTAGATATTTACAAAACTAAACAACAAAAAATATGCCAACAGACTCAGTCATATGGTGCATGTTAAAGTAACATTACACAATAGGTAAATATACTTGCAGTACCACATTGATGGTTTCTGATAAAATCTCAACACCTTTCAGAACTTTGTTGAGAATATCTCAAGGATTTGAGTTCATTAATTGTTTGTGATATACAGATCATACTAGTAGTCGGTTTTCTCCAACATGGCAACTACGCTATGCTACTATCTAGTACTATACAAATAAAAAAGCCTATTTTTAAGCTGAAGGCCAAACAATCTCTGCTATTGATTTTCCCTTTAGAAACTGTAGTTGATAACGTGAACAGTTACAGATAGAGATAGATAGACATTGTTTTCAATGATTATACATTGTGAATAGGTTTCTTGCTTAATAAACAATTTTTACAGTAAATGGACAAAGTCCCTATTCAATAGAGTGCTGATCAAATGACGATTATGTTCAATAGAGTGCTGATCAAATGACGATTATGTGGTATTCAAGAAAAACATACAGGGATTGAACTTGTCTAAAATTGTTCTCTCATCGTCAATATCAAAGGAAACTGCCAAAATGATACGAAAAATCAATGAATTTACAATGCAATCTATTTGCAATAATGGTTAGTATTGTAAATAAATACAGAATTTTAGCTCCAAAATGATATAGCAAGGCTTACATCGTAACATTAAAAGTACCCAATAAGTGATCATACATGGGTCAAAGGTCATTGATACATTAAAACAATTCTACCTTACCAACACTTCTACCCCGGCAACAGTTCAGGATTCGTTCTGCTCTTTCTTTTGCATCAGCTGGGAAACTGTTGTCCTGCAACAATTCTGGGTATGTACATAATGATACCACCTGTAAGAACAAAAATAAATAAATATCAGCCATGTAGGTAAATCAACAATGGCTGATCCAGGAATCTGAATTAGAGGAGGGCCTAAGCATGGAGGAACTTTTACAGATGCACGATACCCTCACCATGTTTGTGGCTGAAGAAAACTTATATCTTATGACACCTCTAGACGGCCAGAAATGACACTCTGGCAGACTTAACTTTTAGAATATTATAATTTTCTTTTTTTCTCATTTTTTTTTTTATAATTTAAAAAAATTAGGGGTCTGGGTCAGCTGTTGCCCTTCCCCTTGAATCCTTCACTGATCTGCAGTGTTTATGGCACATAACCACACATTTAGTGACACCCTGCCACTGACGTCCATGATAATAAAATATTGAAAACATGCAAATATTAAGCAGGAGATTTAATTTGCGGGAGATGGGTTATTTCTGGGAGATTCTTGTTTGCTTGGGGGAGTGCAGAAGGTCGTCCTGATCTCTGGGAGACTCCTGCGAGTTCCGGGACACATTTGGGATCCCTGCAAATGCCAAGGAAATACAGGTGAGCATTCTAACCTCTGATCTGTCCTATTTTCAACGTTACTACTGTACATAGGTTTAAGATGTCTGTAAACTGCTTCCTTTGTACAAGAAAGTTACTAATTAAATTGTACTAAAAATGATATAAAATTGTCCTCGACTTCAACTGTTTCTATTCCATGAGTGCTGATCCACAACTTGACTGATTTTAAGACATTTTATCAGATAGCATTCAATCCAATGAATTGTTAAATAAAATTGAATTAAAATGCATAAAAGCAAAAACCGTAAAAAAAGGATACTGTATGAAGGGGACAATGAATTAAATTTTAATGAATTATATTTAAATGAATTTAATGAATTTTATAAATTGGGATTAAAACTGAACTAAATCTAGCAGTCTATTTTTAGATGTACGTATCAGTTTGGATTTTCTACTACATACATTTATAAATTATTTTGTGTTGGCCTTTTTATAAGCAGAGTTTCCATTTAGTCTTAGGAGCAGTACCATGTTAATCTACCATGTGTTCTAATGAGCTTACTCAACTCATGCATGTTATTAGTTCAGCATTGATGCAATAGGCCTGCATTAATATTATATAAAGGTAAATACATTATGGATATAAAGATAATACGAATTGATTGCAGTCTACCTGGTGTTAGGATGGTAAGTATAACAATGAAAATATCAGAATATAAAATTCAAATATAGATAATACCTAATAAAAATTATTTCAAAAATGATATAAACTCAAATTCCACACTCAGTGGGACGTGGGGGCAGGGCCCCAGTCGGGGAGAGTTGGGCCCCCCGCCCCCGGGAAGAAAAGGCACAATTCGTCAGGGAGCAAAAAAAAATGTATTTTCTACATATTAGTAGACTCTAAAATTGATTAAATAAGCCTCTGAAACCCCTAAATTGTCAACATTTTAGGGGGGTTCGCCCCCCTGGACCATTTTGGAAACCTTTTAATCGAAGCTCGAACCCCTGTCCACACTTATATAAATTGCTGGTTCCTGGTGTCAATCATTGTTTATTGCATACTGTATTTTGTGCCAGTATTGTCAAAACACTGCCTATTGTATACAGCTTTTCAGTATTTGATAGTCAGCTATTGTAGTGTTACTGTAGTAATTTGTTATTAACTTTTCTTCCTGGTACTGAACCAGAACTATTGATAACCTATAGGCCTATATTTTCATAAATTCAATTCATTAAGGTTAGTTCATACTATCCAAGACAAACTCCCCCTAACAATACAGAATCCATAATCATAAAATTATTTTTCAGATGTTTAGGATTTACCACTGACGAACCCAGATGCCATTAAACTCTAGAATGTACTGTGAAATATGGTAATCACAGCCTTACAGTACGATAAACTTGACAACAGACAGCTTTTCCGGGTTTCAGACTATGTCTCATGATCAAACACAATATTCAATCACATACCCATTGCTATTCACCTGTACATAATGCAATATAAGAGAAATTCATTTTATGAAATTCTATTTTCCATGTAATAATATTCTACAAATACAACTACCATATTTATTTGAATAAACAAACCGGCACATTTATTAGGGAGAAGGGTTTTTGAGGGAGGCATTTACATTTTTTGTGTAAAATAGATATATGTATTTAAACTAATGTATATTTACTAATAAACGCCCATTAATTTCACTGTAAATGTAGAACTACAACACAAAATTACCGCCAAAATGTGTTAATTGCATGATCATAATGATTTATTGATCTCATATTCTCATCAGGAGGAAAAATGTCATTATACTCGGAGTAGAACACTAATAGAATGTGTTGAGAATGATGTTGCTTCCATCATTTTTGTTTAGTCATTTAGGGAGAGTTTATTTGAGGGAAACAAAAAATCCCCCGGGTGTTTATTAAAGGAAAGCGTTTATCCCAAATGAGGCTCAGGAGGAGGGGGTCTATGTGAGTATTTATTACTTTTTATCAACAAAAACCATTGAATACTGTATACACCCTCAGGAGTCCATATGGTTCTACACAATACAAATCCTCATTGTTTTCTGCTATCTATGAATTAGAAGCGGAGTGAGAAAGGTCACTCATAAAGGTACCCTTGAACGACACCAATGAAAATATATTCTTATCATATATGAAAAAACCTACCTGTCTGAGAAAAGTGATTGGCCTTTGGCCCATTGCGTGTGCATCACCAATATTACACTTTACAACATCTTTGTATGGCTTCTTGACACCCTATGAAAACAATATACATAAAATACTTTATTATAGGCGATTAAATTAAGAACTGAAATAAAATATTCAGTACTTTTATTGATATAGTAAATAACAAATTGTAATCAAAATATTCAAAATTTATAGTCGTTTATTTAGATAATAAAACATGTCTTTGCAAGCAAACTTTAATTAACTTAAAAAAAATTATATAATGATATTTGAAGGTTTTGAATAATTTACATTTTCACACTACAGGGTAATGAATGAACAGAATGTCAATCAATCTTAACAACTGACCCATTAAAACAGTGCCAGAAATGCACGCGTGTCCAAAACAAACATGTACTATTTACGTACAGTGGCATAACAATGGGGATGGGGGCCCTGTGGCTTTCTGAAACTGGGGGCACCTTTTTGGGTCTCGGTCACAGTTGGAGAGTGTATACCACCTCAGTCCCACCACGGTTGGAGGCTAATGTAAGAAAATTTATGATTATGGCACCTGTAGATGGCTGGAAATGGCACTCGGGACATATAATTATGAATATAACTTTCTTTTTATCTCCATTTAAAAATATTTTGACAAATTTAGTGGGGCCTGGGGCTGACAGGTCCCCACCCCACTCTTTATTTCGATACTGGAATATGATATATGTCCTGCAGTCGATTTCAGAGACACATTATGCTGCTGCGCTAATAAAAATTCTTTACGTATATACATGCTATTGTTTGAAAACTGTTTACGTATATACACGCTATTGTTTTGTAGGACATTAGCAAATATCAAAGGGGAAGACCTTAGCAAATAGATCCATAATGCAATGTTGGTTGAGGGTACACAACCTTGGTAGTATTCAGTATTTTGCCCTCCATTTTTCGAAACCACCTTTAGGACCTGAAAATTAGGAGTAATCCTGGGGTTTGGGTTAAAAGTTTGAAGCTGGTTATTTGGTTCTATAAAAAAGTGGTCTCAATTAGAGGGATCTATGATTTAGAAAGGGTCTCAATTTTGAGGATGTGTTGTATTGTAGGGTCTTTCCATCAAATCTTTAATCGGGGTCAGCAGTGCGATATGGTAGTGACTTTCTTAAGCTGTTTACTGCTTAACTATCTATTTAATATTTTTGTTAAAATCTAAAAAAGGAATTGGCAACCAATACAATTGTCCTTGATTTATATAGCCTTTTACATTTCAAAGATTATCCGTAATTGTTCTGTATTATTACGACATACTGTACTGTACTGTACTCTAAACAAGTGAAATACCACAGGAAACCATAAAATGTTTTTTTTTTTTTTTATTACATATTGTACATTCTATTCTTTCTTTTAGAGTATTCAAATCACATTCAAATCTGTTTATAACAAGTTTGTAATCATGCATTTATGAATGATTGTATTCAACATGTGTGTCAACGCCAGCCATGGAAAAATGACATCCGCTTCAGTGGCGAAACCAGTGGGGGGATTCAAACGAAACCCCTTTCTGTGAAGAAATGTAACAAAATACAAGGGTTCTGGCTTACAAAAATCATGCTAACCTACCTAGGTATAGGTTGGAAGATCAGACAAAATAGGCTTAGCCCAACTAGTTTTCAATTAAATAAATTATACACACTGTTTTTGGTTCGCCGTCGTAATAATTTATGTACGAAAGCGAGTTCTTCAGGCCTATCGGTTCACCGATCCATGGAAGAAAGTCTACCTATATAACTACTCAATGTTGTTGGAATATAATAATATATTGCCTGTCTTTGATTCTTTCCTCTATGATAGGCCTAAAGAATGAGATAAAATTACCTTACCTTTTTTCAAGAGGGGGAAAACCTTGAATTTTGAAGAACATAAAGGTCATTAAAAGTCTCCTCAGAAGTCGGGAAAGCTCATTTCTAGGAATCAAAATTTTTCCGGACCCTCTTTCATTTTGGGGTTTTTTGGAAACATTTTGAATCCCCCTCTTTTAAAACCTGGATCCGCACCTGCGCTTTCAAGTCTAAAGCCCTGTCTAGACTATCAAACCATATTTGACAAAAACATGTGGTCATGATGACATCACATCATAACCATATATAGGCCCATCATGACTATATATGGGCATACAACAGTTCTTTGTCAACGAAAATTTGATAATCTGGTTAGAGCTTTATAACAGAATAAAAAATAGAGCTATAATAACCATGCCAAAAAAACCCCAAAAAATGAAATTTTGGTCTTGTATTTATTTTTAGGTTTAGGAATGACTATTGATTATTTAGTCAATTCATGAGCCTTTCAATGAAAAGGTTTTTGGAAAAAGGTTGACTGGGACTTTAAATTTAGTCTCTTATAGAAGTGCTAAAATTTTGCCATATGTCACCTTTAGAGAAGTGCAATCCAAAGTACCGTTTACAATTCTTATCTTCTATTGTAAGATAACGATCCTTTCAAACAACATTTCACCAGGGTTGCCCTTACAACAATGCTGAATAAAGGGGCACACCCTAAAAGAAGACCATATTGTTAAATCTAGGACTGGATTAGATTTTTAAGGTGTTAAACAAACCAAAGATGACCCACAAAAATCTGCAGACATATTATTTTATCAATCCCACCTATCCTGTACCCATGTAACAGTACCATCCTGTACTGAGCACAGGGTGCTATTTAAGTACGCATTAAATTAAAGCCTCTAGCCAAAACACAATCAAGTCTTTGTATTTCAGCAATACTTTCAAGACTATTTAGTTAGATAGTGGCCACTGCCTACATTCCCCTCCCCTTGATCCACAACTGCTGTAGCAACAATAACTTGTTCAGGTTTAAGATGGTGTTCAGTGATGGATCCCCTTGCAGCAGATTTCCAAATACAGTTAGAAGATAGGGATCTACCATATTAATATTCCTCAAGTGACTCTAAACAGACTCTGGACTTCGATGGTACATTTACAGTATAAAATGATGTGCATTTACAATGACACTGTGACATAAAGTAAACAAGACACCAGTTGTAATGTCACGTTCCTACTGTCTTATGAGGAAGTAATTAAAATAAAACTCTTGAAAGTTCAAACTTAATATTAATTTATCATACAACTTGCCATGACAAGTTCAAACTGTTGGTTAACAACTCTCAGGCATGATTTACTACAGTCAGCTATCTCAACAATCATTTGCGAACAAGCAGATAATTATGTAGGCCTAACTAGCTAACAGGCTGCAGAAGCTCATTACTAACTTAGTTACTGGTAAGTACTGTAACAGCAGTTACACCAGTCTTCAAATTACTAATAATGGACATTTCCGTATTATCAAACCAACTTCGGACCAAAAAGAAGTGTCATGAATATGCATGGTCTTACAAACACACGTATTGTTCTACAAATGCACGTGTTAGCTTAGTAACAATATCCACTTGACGCTTCGCGGATGATTGTTAGTAGGCACTTTCCACAAGAGGACGGGAGCTGTCGACAATGGCAGTTCGGGTTAAGCGTCCAAATGTTTACTGTGGTCTTCATGCTCTGATGAGCACAGAAACACCGTCCACAAGTCTTCCCGTCCTGTTGTGTAAAGTACCCTATTTAATAGTGTGTGGACTGAATGAATAGGACAATAACATCCAATCAGAATTAGGAATTGGCTTAAAACTGGCGTAACAACAGGCCTAAATTGCCTTTCTAACTAAAAATGTTATACTCAATTAATTAGAGAATGCACAAAGGCCCTAGTTTACTAAGTACGTTAAGTTTACATCATCAACACTAAGAAAACCCTCAATTGCCAAGCTTATCCAACATCATCATCACTTATACACAATATACAGCATGCAGCACACACAAAACAGTGGCAACTGAAACCAAGGAGCTGGAACAGTCACTGACCTACCTTACTCAACTCATGCTCTATCTCTGTAGCACGCTGTACGATCGGTCCCCTCACGGCATATTCCATCGTTCGTATGTGAGGGTTCATATTTTCAACAGTGAGAACTTTTTGCCTCTTTGGTACATGGCTGTTGCAAGCCATGTTTACTGATGATAACAGTTGCTCTGCCGCAGCCCACACTGGTCTTACTCCATATGCCGCTCGGCGCGTACTAACCAGCCGACCCACTTGACTGACTGCGTGATGCATGGTGGCGATGATGAAACGTAACTCTCGCACAGGCGGCCTACGTCACACAACTTATCGTTGTTTCTTCACTGCTGCTGTGACACGTGACTACAATTCCAAGTTTTCTAAACATGCAATTTCTGCAGGTATTAGTTGTAAAGTTGGATTTATTTATATTGCAATTGAAGATTAATCTAGCCAGTTAGACAATCCAAGACTGCTAAGCGTCTCAAATTTTCACTTCCTATGCTTACTCATATCATTTAATTAACGTACAGTAGTTTACAGAACCAGCTGCAGTTCAGTTCACTGCATTTCATCATCGAGCGATTTATTTTTTTAATAGGCCAAATTATAAATGGATTAAACAGTACAGAGATTATATTACAAAGTAGTATTCAAAATAACATAGCAAAATGAAACTTCGTTCCTTGTATTTCAGCAATATTGACTTATATATCCAAAGCCAAGAATGACTGTGTAAAACTAGATCAGAAAAGACATGCTGATTAGCCTCGATCTACAAAACCTCTCTTGAAATGAGATCACCCAAGGGTGAAAGGTTGGAAAATCGGTGAAGCGTGTTAACAAAGTCAGAGCAGCTGAGAACGAATATACAAGAGTACCCAGCAACAAATAGTGTTTATTTTATTTATTAGAACTAGGGATATATTTGAACGTTATTATATTTTTAATGAATCGTTAATAATGCAAATCTACTTAATTTTCGCATGAGGTTCGTAGAAGATTTATTTCTGAAACGACGTGCTGAAAGTCAGCAGAGAAATCGTCTTCATAATATTCATCGAAACTTGTTGCTTTTTGTTGTGGTGTGGTGGTGCATGTCCGCCTGCTAAATCTACTAAATACACACGTACTTAACAATACAGGGCCTGCGCTTTAACATGGTCTTAAAGCCTTGTCCGGTATGTAATCAACAGGTAAGTGATTAATAAATTAATTAATTAGTTTTTAATTATTAGGAAATTAAGGGAAAAAAATAAAGGATATATTAATATACTGTAACCATTTCCCAAGTCAAACCAATTTTTATGCTTCATGGTCCATACCATTCTGACAATGGGTTTGTACAATGAATTCGATCCAACTCGGCCACAAGTTAACTCGGCCACAAAAAGTTTGGCTACAGTCAACTCGGCCACAAGTCAATTCGGCCACAAATCAACTCGGCCACAAGTCATTTACTGGTACTACATTGTACTAATTGTTATTATTATTGCTGTTATTATTGTTGTCATTGTTGTTATTATTATTGTTGTTTTTATTACCGTTAGTTTTAATCCGAAATGCTTGTAGTATTGAAGTCTTCAAAAAACTCTTAAAAGCTCATTTATTTCCTAAATAATCCTCTTCCTACAATAAACCTTTTCTAAGCGCCTTGTATCCTTTGGCAAAAGGCGCTATATAAATTTCTATTATTATTATTATTATTATTAATATTACAGTAATTATTAGTCTTAGCATTAAAATTATATATTGTTCAAATTTTTGCTGATATTTTTATTATTACATATATATATATAGTACATATATTTATAGTACCATATAAATAATAAATAATTTTCGATTTTTTATTATTATTCATATTATTATTATTATTATTAGTCTTAGTATTATAATTTTAATAATAGTAATTTAAAAAAGTTGTTGTTATTGGCGTTTTATTAGTATTTTTCTCATATTATTATTAATATTATTGTTGTTACCTTTATTATCGATATTATTACCCTATTATTACTAAGTAGGCCTAGTATTATAAGTATCATTATATTATTATTATTACTAATAGTAATTAGCATTACTATTATCATAAAAATAAACATTATCTTTAATTTATTATTGTATTATTGCTATTATCACCTTCAATATCGTTATTATCACTAATTAGTTATTAAAATTGATATTTAAATATCGTTATTATTACCATACTAGTATTATTACTATTTGTTAAAATAAATATTACTATTAATGTTGTTGTTGTTATCATCACATTTATTACCGTCATAATGACTAATTAGTATTATTAATGTAAATATTACTAATTTATTGTCGTTATGGTTGTTTAATATTATTGTTGAAGTAGAATGTTGTGAGTAAACAGAAGACGAACACATTAATAAATAACTCTTTTTAATTCATAGGCAATAGCATTCAAATCTCTTTTGGTAGTGTGGTGGTCCTGTTTTACTAAAACATACTGTGTACTTTATTTCAATCATATATTGAAGAAAAAGGATGCAAAAACCTAGATTTACATTAAATAACTTGTGGCCGAGTTGACTTGTGGCCGAGTTGATTTGTGGCCGAGTTGATTTGTGGCCGAGTTGACTTGTGGCCGAGTTGGCAGAAGCCGAAATTTTTGTGGCCCAGTTGACTTGTGGCCGAGTTGACCTGCACCCTGTACAATGACCCAGGCTCCAGCAGTGCTGTTCCATTCCACACTATACACAGAATATGTGCTACTAAACACTTGACTGATTTCACTCTCTAAAGATTTTCAACATCAATTTTAATGATAAGTTGGTGTATGGGTTCATGAGAAAAGTTTTCCGAATACATGTACTCGAATGTTCGTTTTGTGCACTATAGTCTAACCATCATAAATTTTCATTTTCTCTAACTTTTGATTTTGTTTGTCTATAATTTTCATGAATCAAATTGTATATTATAGAGGCAACAAGCTAAAGGTCAAATGAAATCAGATGTAACAGACATTGCGAAGTGCCCAAAATTAATAAAATAATAACTAACATCATAAAACGTATGGTAGACATATAGACTAATAATTGCGGCTGTACTCGTAACTAGTATCAGACTGTCAGTGCTGCAGAAATCAAAAGACACAAACGTGCTATGTTCTCATGCAGAGATGAGCATCCTTTTGTAATTGTCTTCATGGTGAGACTACATTGACTTGATAATACAAGTTTGAGGTGATTTTTTCCAGGTACCTGTTGCCTGCAAGTCATGTTTTTGTGGTCACATCTTTTTCACAAACCGCCGAGCAAAGAGTCCCAGTCCTCCAGTAACAGCAGGTAAAAATTTCCTTGTCAAATAAACTTTTTTACTGCTCTTTTGATTTTTTTTTTTTTTGTACAATTATGGTCCATTGTTTTAAATTTGCTCACATCCACTAAATATAGGACAGCCAAAATTGTTATCAATTGGGAATTAACCCAAGAAGCAAACTTAAACGAAATTGTTAAGAAACTTTAATTACATTCTTTTTAAATTGTTAGACCAAAATGGAAGTACTTCACGGAGAAGAGCTGAACGACCAAAGAAAGTTAGAACTGATTATTATGGACCAAGTGCATTTGAGCACAGGATGGATAAGGTTTGAAATATAAAATTAGAATATTATTTTTAGTATTGTTTAAACATCATTTATTAACATTCTTTTGAAACAAATATTTGGAAGCGATACAGTAATTCAATACGAAAATATTTAAATTGCAATTTAAAAAATGCAAGTTCAACATAAACTGTCAGTATGCAAAAAAAAAATATGGAAACATACAGTAAAATTGTATTATTATTAGTACAGTATTATTGTTTTATTAATATTATTATTGGTATTATTATTATATAATTATTATTATTGTTATTATTACTTTTATTATTATTGGTAGTATATTAATATTATTAATTCATTCTTTTAAATTTTTTATATTTCTATAGACTTTATTGATTATCCTTGAACTTTTATTGCAATTTTTGTCATTTGATTGCATTTTTTTGTATGTGTTCATTGGCCCTGGACAATAGTAATGCTTTTGCACCGATCAGGCTACCCCGGGTGTAAAAAAAAATTTAATAACAAGTTAAGGAAAATATTTAACATTTTTCTCTGAATCATACACACAAAGATTAACAATTTTTTCAAAAATCGAAACGTTATTCTTCTAGCAATTGAGTACAAATAGCTCACGAGTGAGAGAAAGATCGGCATCATTTGGTGGAGAAGCCTCGCCAAAGAAACGTAAACCAGGAAGACCAAAGAGTACCTCTGGAAAATCAAACGATGGTAATGATCATAAATAGAAGGCTTTATTAAAAACAAAATCTTAAAAAAAATATTCAATTCAGAGTTTATCGGTTTCGCATTTTCTTATGTGTGGTTTGCTTTGTTTTTTCTGTCTTGATTATACCCTTATGTTAAAGGAGAAAATCAATAAATAATATATTTTCTATCCAACTATTTGTTGGGACACTCTGTTAAAAATGAGCCGACGTCTTAGTTGTTAATCCCATGCCGTTACTTAATCTCATTTACATTTACTGCATTTATTCGAATAAATGCCCTGCTTTGAATAAACATCTCCCAGGCCCCTCAGTTAAACAACTTCTCTAGAGCCTTTATTTGGAATAAACGCCCCTCCCTTGGATGGATGGATGGATTCGTTCGGTGTACACAACAAAGAATAACCCACGAAAGTCTAGAAGAAGACTTATTTCCAGTGGGGTCCTTCTGGTGGTAATTGGACAGTACACCAGGAGACAATCCCGTACTTTTTTCCAAAGATTGCACTTGGGCCATAATGCATACGGGACCAACAGCTTAAACATCTCATCCAAAAGACGGTGCGCTATTGTAACTTGCATTTCAACTTTCTAGCTGATGAGAGCAGCAATGGGAATTGAACAAGGGATCTAGAGATCTCCATCGCTCAGCGCACACACAGTGGCTACCACCAGCTTAACCGACTGAGCTAAGCTGAGCTCCAATACTAGAATTACATTTTTTTTCTAACCTTGTTTTGGATCAATAAGTCTATGATCATGCAATAACACATTTTGACGGTAATTATGTATTGTAGTTCCACATTTACAGTGAAATGAGGGGTGTTTATTTGAGTATAAATGAATCCATTTTACACCAAGCAACATAAATGCCTTTCTTTGAATAAATGCCTCCCTCCAATTAATGCCTCAGGGGTGTTTATTCGAATAAACACAGTATTTTTATTGCCATTATTGTACATTTTATTCCTATGTTGTTGATATCTAATTAAACAATCACATATGAGTCCAATAACCAGGAAACTGAATAGTCATGAGCAACCAAGATGAAAGGCATGGGTTTCAGGTTGAAAGGTACCGATTCTGGGAAATCTGGTTTATAAGCCGCCTTAAAATATCTTTATGGAGAAAATTAATAATACAGGCAGTTACATGCAGACATTCTGAACATGTACTTTAGTTAGATTTATATAGTGCTTTAATTGCCAAAGTCCCAAAGCAGCAGTCGAGGTGTGGATTCGCTTGTACAATAAATTTCTTCTCCCTTAAGGGTGTCTGAGTTACCTGGAAAATTGGTCTCTCTCTGGTCTGCCCACAACAGGGACTGTATGAGCCAATACACCGGGCTAACCCCCCAACTCATCTCGAGAGATGTACTGGGTTCCTAAAAGTGCACATGAGCCAATTTGTGTACACTGGGCCTACAGTTTATAGTCCTTATCCGGGAAGACTTATTTCACCACCAGCGTGCGGTTCAAACAAGCGCCGATATTATGGCAGAAATATGCAGAAGATGGGTCAGTTTTTGGTAGAATTTTCGTTGCTCATGAAATTGCAAGATACTATGCCATTTTTTGAAAGACTCCACAACTAGCGAAAGATTTGTGGCCTCTGGATAATGTTATATTATTCTCAGTAGCAGTAAGAGCTTTTTTATGTAGTGTCTACCAGCGCTATGTAAATATAAATAAATAATTATTCTTTATTGACTGTTCTCTACAGATGAAAAGGAAAAGAAAGAAGAAGACGTTTATGCTACTCTATCGGAAGACAAAGCGTTCATCTACTCCATAATACTTGATGAGATCAACTGCAAACTTCAAAAACAATGGAGAGGACCAACAAAAGATAAGTCTGTTGTTACCCCCAATGGAGTCTCTGACTAGCATGCATACTAATTCTTCAGTTGTAATCTTTGTACATTTGTATTATATTTTTTCAATATGAGTAGACCCAAAGGGTCTACAGTTTGTAGAAACCAGCAATAGTTTAATTTTATCGTTTGTTTACAAAGCAAAGATTTTAACAAGATAGCGTTCTCCACGATTTACCCGTAACAAATAGAAGTGTCGATTTGGCACAGAAAAGTAATCAGTTTTGGGAGAGGGCGTCCTAGTCGTTGCCATGGATCTGAGATAGGGTGTTCGCGTTACGCCATAAGTTCGTTACCAAGTACGTTAATTTGTTCCTTATGTTCTAAAGAGAGGGCGCATTGTAAATCAGACGCTTCTAATTGTTACGCGTAAACGTAAAGTCGCGCGGCGTACGCTATGGTCGGAGAGGTCAAGGTTCAAAAGTTTTCAATTTTGCAAGAGGCCGCTTGTATTGTAGCTGTATGTTGCGGCGCCCCCGCCTTTATAATACCGTAAAACCTTAAATTGAAGCCCTGGGCTTCTTTTCTTTGCGAACTTTGCACGGGCTTCTTTTCGAGATGGGCTTCTTTTCAAGACTACTTTTGCAAAGTAAAGAGGGGGCTTCTTTTCAAAATGAATGCTGTAAATTTTGTGAATTTGTACTATAAAAAAATAAATAAGGCCACTGTAACATCAATCTGTATCATGGAGTGTATTTAACTGGCATTAAATCACCTAAACTACTGTATAAACCTCGATAAGAAGCCTATGCTATCTTGAAAAGAAGCCCATGGGCTTCTTTTTGAGATGGGCTTCATTTCGAGGCTAATTTTGCAAACTACTGTAAAAAGGGGGGCTTCAATTCGAGATTAAGTCAGTGGGCTTCAATTCAAGGTTTTACGGTGATAATAATAGTAATAAGGATGTATCAGTAGAAAGTATATTGTAGGTTGCTAAACATTTTAGGTCGGGGATGCATTCAGCAATCTGCAACTTTCACTCTAGTTGTTTCATATACTGGGCCTAGAATACATGCTTTATTTCACATTATTACATCAATGATAAGATAATATTGCTTATTAATTCTGTATTATATAGAAATGTAATTAAATGTACAATATATAATTATAATTTTGCTTAATCTTTTTCTGGTATTTTTACCAAAATAAAATTTAATAATCATAGTGATCTGTAAAGAAAACAAAAATACAACTCTTTAGAACTGATAAAATGTGATGTCAGTTGCCTATAATAGAACCACAAAATCTATGCATAATTATATAACATTCTCAACAGAAGCATTTGAGCAATAATGTTTTATTGTCTTCCAAGCAATAATTACAACTAATTATAGTAAATTATACATTGTAAATTACTTCTTCAGAAGTTTATGAGTTTTTCTACTGTATTAAGTACTCTGTCAAATATGTACTCGGCTTGTAGTGCTTGGAGGCATTAAATGTGGACTGTTTTGCCTGGGTCTATAAAATATCATCAGTTCTTTCCATGGTCTATTAAAAATGGGCCAATTGTGATTTAGTCCATTAAGTTTGGCATTTCTGCTTTGTTTGGTCCAATATAGGGTGTTTGTGCCTTATTCGGTATGGTGTTTTTGTGCCTTATTTGGTATCAATTAGTATGAGGTGTTTGTGCCTTATTCGGTACAATTTATATTGGGTGTTTGTGCCTTATTTGATACAGTAAATATGGGGTGTTTGTGCCTTATTCGGTACAATTAATATGGGGGTGTTTGTGCCTTATTTGGTACAATTAATATGGGTTGTTTGTGCCTTATTCGGTACAATTAGTATGAGGGTGTTTGTGCCTTATTTGGTACAATTAATATGGGTTGTTTGTGCCTTATTCGGTACAATTAATATTCAAGGTATAAGTGCCTTATTAGCTGGTTTTACCTTATATGATCCTTTGAATATAGGTCATTTGTGCCTTATTTGGTCAACTAAATATAAGGGGGTATGTTTTATCATGGTTTTATCTTGATCAATGTAGTATGGTGTTTGTGCCTTATTTTTCCATCAAATATGACCATTTGTGCCTTAATTTTTCATTAAATATGGGGCATTTGTGCCTTGTTCGTGCTTTTTGTGCCATATTGGTTCATTAAGTATAAGGTCATTTCTATGTTAATTTGAAAAAAAAAGTACTGTAAAAGCTTATAAAATTTGACTAAGCAACAGAAAGTTTGTAAGTGTGTAAAACAATTTATTTATTTCTCTGCACAGATATCATTATTGGTAAGAAAAATGGAAAAAATATATTAAAAATACATCTTCACGAAAAGGATAAGAAAAAATGGAAATTTATGAAGGCATGCAATAATACTTCCAAAAAATTGTATCCACTGTACCTGTTTTATAAAATAAAAAAATAATAATAATAAATAAAAACAATAATTAACCAATAATAATTTTTGTGTTTAGATTATAAATATAATGTTGATCATCTTTGTTGCAGCCTCATTGTTTAGTTAAATTTGTACCATATGTCTTCATGTACTGTACCATAAAATAATTTGCATGACATTAATATATGATTTAACATGTGAGGACCAGGAAAGGAGTACTGGTATATGTTAAAAATCTGATTACCATTGTAAATAATTTCACACTTTCATAAAATATATATAATATTAATTTTAAATATTATCTTGTTGAATTATTTTAAAATTTTAGAACATAATAATAGTAGATAAATTTTGATTCTACCTATTTTGTATGTTTATTAAAAAATACTGATTAATCATAACAACTGGATATAGGTATATACAATAAACAGTAGTGAATATATAATTTTTTTTACATATATAATTTTCTATTTGGAATATCTGTTAATTTCTAAAAATTAATGAAAATAAAAAGTGTAATGATCAAAGCACAGAATTTGTCATCATTTAATTTGTTTCTGATGGAACTATTTTAGTAACAGCACCCTCTCTAGTTTGGATAATTGCAAACACCATCTGAGGAGGAGGCTAAACTCTGGACTGTTCCATTTTGAGTTTGCTTAAAGTTTGTTATTGTTTTGGTAGTGGATTGTGTGGATTTGGATAAGAATGTTTCTTGAACTCAAAGACTCTTTTCTTGAACTCAAAGATACTTTTTAATTGTTATAAAAAGGGTGCCACTTTTCTACAGTGATTTAATTTGATGTGAATTTAATTTGATGTGAATGTATTTGGAATAATAAAAAAAAATACACAAATAAAAGAATGCTAATATGTATGTGTATAAATATATCACATACATATTTCCATTATTTTATTTGTATGTTATTACACATTTTCAAATTAAATTCACTTTTTTTTCTACAGAGTGATTTAATTTGATGTAAATTTAATTTGGAAAGGTGTTTACCTTAATATATTCTTAAAATAGGTATGCATTGTTTTTAATTTAACACAAAATTCATGTTTAGTGACAATTGACATTTTGCAAATTTATAGGATTAAATTTCATATAAATTTCACTATCATAAAGATTATATAATTTATTATTTCTATCTGACAATAATGACAAATTTATGAGTTCAGTATTAATCTCACCTAATTAAAGCAATGAATTATGGGTAATGTTGGTCTATTGATGTGGAAGAGACAACACGCATGGCTGAACACACTAATGAAAATAGTCTGCAAGATTTTGTTGCTTGAATGCTAACTTGCCCGAGACGTGATGAGTTGAGTTTGATTGATGATTAGTATATTTGAGGCAGAAATTGCGATTTTATTCAAAGGTGATCATTGCTAATTCCATGTGGATAAACAGTGGCATATCTAGAAATTTGAAATAGAAATAGCCGAGAGATATACCACGTCAGCTCCACTGAGGGCTGCGGTAAAGAAAATTGTTGATTATGGCAACTGTAAATGGATGGAAATGTACATTGATGTATATTTATTTATATATATGTATCAGATGTATATTTGAATATACAGTAATTTTCTTTTTTTTTATAATTTTGAAAAATTTAGGGGGTGGAGTCCCCTGGCTGGCTTGAATCCACCACTGATAAATCATCGAATGGTCTGTATCCTAAATATGTCAGAATGAACATTGCATTAAACACATAGAGAACACATACTCAGTTCCCTGGGGAATACCGTAATGATGTAGGCTCTAGTAATTGAATAATTGGAAATTGCAGGTTCCATTTTTCTGGGTGAAGAGGAGTAATATGGATAAAGTGTATGGCCCAAGGACACTGTAAGTATGGTAACCATGGCTTGAACCCAGAACCTTTCAATTAGAAGTCTGGTTCCTTACCACTATGTTGCATACTCGTTTACGGTAAAAATAAGAGAATTTAAGAAAGTACAAAAAGAAAGGTGTTATTATATCCATGCTTCTCTTTCTATGCAACATTGTTGCATATGATTATCACGCCCATATATAGGTAAGTCAAAGGTATTTGTCAAATAATACTTGATTGTATGGAAAAAGCTGTGATTTTAAATTCTGTACAACCTGATTGGAAGCCTGGTTCCTTAACACTATGTTGGATGCTTCTATTATAAGGTGAAAAATGAAGACATTTAGAAAAATATGAGTGGGAAGGTATTATTATAGGCCTACACCTACTTTACATCTGCGATAATACTTGATTGTTATGGAGTGTAATTTTTAATATTTTACAACCTGCTGCTGTTAACATACGGTAAGTACATTCAATATATCAGCCATGAATTGCAGCTGCATAAGCTGCACATTTATTAACCATTGTCGTTTATGAGTCTTTGTGTTGGGCTACATTTACTGAGATCACAACACATTAGAATGGTTATTAAATGTGTCAGTGTTAATTTTGTGGATATTTTCCCTTGATGAAGGGATTTACGTCACAGCTTTAATGGGATCACCACTTTGAGAAAATAAGACAGAGCTATTGACGCGAATCCGCCGTAAAAAATACTCAAATTCTACACGAATGCCAGTGATAGATGTTTTAAGTCTGTTCCAGGTGGATGAGAGATAGCGGGATGCATAATAAGAATAAAGAATATGAAAGCTAACAGACAATAAATTTGAGTTTAAGGGGGAAATGCTTGGCAGGAGTAATCGGACGTGTTAACCATTAAAGTATTACAACTGACATCTTCAGTTCACGTCTTAACAAATAAATGTTTTCGAACGTCCGCAATATTGAAATGAATGATGTTGCGCAAAGGACTCTGTTTACCTCCCCAGTGCCTTATTAATTCAAAACTTGCCCACATTTCTGATTAATAATGTATCGGAGAGAATTACAATTTGTAGCATCGTGTGTGACTACATTTGATCAATCAATAAAATGAGTTTTAAAGTGAAACTTAAGAAGATTGATGGGGTTCGTTGGGACTGTTATTATGCAACCATAGAGAGTATACAGTTAATTTTGCTATCCATATGAGTATAGTCGTATTAAACTATCTGATATCTGATCCCTGCTGATATCTATTAACAACTAATCCATTAAAGAAACGATAATTACATTTAATAATATATATTGCACGAATTTCATTTGCTTATCTGAAAAGAAGGGGTTTAGTTTTGTTCAGTTTTATTTGTGGGTAGGGATAACATGTGAATTTTCAGGGAAGGAGGAGGATGGAGGAAGGAATTAATTTAAGC